GTAATAAGAATATTAGCTATAAAAATAATGTAATAAATATTTAGTGACCGTTAAATAATGATTATTTGGAGATCATGAGATGCGGTCTGGTGTGATTGGGTTTAGAAAAATATTTTCTTTATGCTTATTCTTTATCCAAGGTGAGATGAGGAGTTGGCGTTCGAGTGGATCGAAGCTCAAGTGGTTAGAGCAGTGGCGTATTAACAGAAGGCCGTGGGTTCAAATCCTGCTCTTCACACTAGCTTTTTCATCTCAACCAAGACCAAGTGGTGTTTAGTGACCGTTAGTTAATGATTATTTGGAGATCGTGATCGTGCGCTCTGGTGTGACGTAGGTTTTAGAAAAACACTTTCGTTATCGTGCCACGTTTCGATCTTTATCGAGATCATCTTCAGAGCCTGGGATTTATAAACATATAAAAGATATGACTATGAATTTATACAATGATGTACACAATAAAGAAATTTTAGGTTTAATCAAACTATTTGTCTCACTCCAAGTGTGTTTTCTGTGTAATGTGTCACTGTTGGGTGCTGTGTTGAGAGTGTTAGTGAAATATTAATGTTTTTTGTTTATATAAGTTAAATGCAATCTTTAGACGAAAGACTTTTTAAAACGAATCTTTATCGCTAAATAACATAATTAGTTACAGAAAGTACCCTTTCAGTGGACGGGCTAGATTATTCTCTTTCAATTAAATATTCGGATAAAAGCTGTCAGTTATCTTTCCTGTAACTAATTAGAAAAAAAGGATCTATTATTTTTATCTATGGGGAAAAATTGAAAGAAGGGGCAATTGTTCAATCCACATATTCCTAAGCACTGAGATAAGTAATTGTTTAAAAGAAATCTCGTTATTAAAATTGAGACTTAATTCCTCAACCCCTACATGAAATATTCGGAGAATGTTGGTTTTCGTCGGCGGCAGCTGCTGCAAGTTGCGAAGATAACCGGGCGATTCCATAGCTAGATAGTATAGTTACAGCCAGACAGCATAAGTCCATACAGGAGGATCGTCCATATACCTATCGATATAGTGATGATCGGTTTTGAAATAGCTGGAGTCAAATGTTGACTTTCAAGTCGGTTCAATTTGACGTGCTTTACATTGGCTGTTGTTCTTCCTTCAAACTAAGTTTAACTTCGTTGAGGAACTTTGGATGTCCACAAGTATATGAAGAGTGAAAAAGCTGTTTATTTCTGCTACCACCTCTAATTAATGTAAATACATATTATCTCTTGGTAGTTCAATTTAAATATCAAGGATGCAAACAATTATAATAATATAATACTAATAGTAAATATAACACTAATAGTAATTAATCTTTACGTAAGTTATTGGATGAAATGAAAAAGTTAGTGTCACGAGCGAGATTCGAACCCATGACCTTCGGCTAAATACGCCGCTGCTCTACGATTAACTTTTTCATTTCAACCAATACCTTACATAAAGATTAATTACTTGAAAGAAGTTATTCGGTCAACCGTACCACGAAATATAATAGATGTAAATAAGTAAAACGAAGTATCTCTTCAGAAAGAGCTCTCCGTAGCCATTTCATTTGTCGCTGAGAATCGAATCCTGATTACACGACATTTGAAAAATGGCAAAAAGGAGGGAAAATTCGAAAGGTAGGTTGAGGCGGAGAGTTGGTGTCCGAGAGGATCAATGTCACGATAGCTCAAGTAGTACAGCTGCGGCGTATTTAGCCGAAGGACGTGGGTTCGAATCCCGCTCGTGACACTGACTTTTCTATCTCAACCAAGACCTTAGAAAGAAAATTAATTGAAAGTTCAATATTTACTTTATTTGCGTTCGCTCTTGATTTCAGTAAATACTTTACATTGGAAACAATTGTTACAAAATTAGAGTTATGTTTTGTTAAGAATTAGTTTGTATAACTCAAACATTTGTTTTCTTACTAAGGGTAATTGTACAAGATAAATAATTTGGTTGTTAACAATTTTATATTGTACACTAATTAAATTTTCAAATTCAAAAATGTTTCTTAAACTTACTTCAAGTGGTAATTGACCCTTATAACATGTATAAATTTTAGTAACTTCCTTCAACAATTCGTGCAGAGAAATAATACTAGGGTCAGATCGTGACATGCGGTCTGATGTGACGTAGGTTTAAAAAAAAACATTTTCTTTATCGTGCCAACGTTTCGATCTTTATTGAGATCATCTTCAGGGCTCAAAGTGTTTTCCATGTAGATGTGTCATTCTTGTGTGTCGTGTTGAGAGGGCCCGACGACAGAAAAGAATGACATAAAAACGTGAAAACAAACACTTTGAGCCCTGAAGATGATCTCAATAAAGATCGAAACGTTAGCACGATAAAGAAAATGTTTTTTTTTAAACCTACGTCACATCAGACCGCACCTCACGATCTCCGAATGATCATTTTTATTTATTGCTAACATTTTTTATTTTATTTCGGCTGTATTTTCTTCAATTACTGTTATTGATTTATTAAACTCCTCCACGAGTTCATTGATTATTGAATAATGCAAATTCATTTGTTTTTCAAAGTAAATCTGATACCGTTTAGATTTTCAATATCTTTGTTAACTTGTGCTCCATCGAAGAATCTAGATTACCTGTAATAAATTATATTGTCGATCCTAATCCATTAATTAAAACTCTTTTAGTTATAATATTGTTAGAATTTTTTACAAAAACTATTTCTAACTTTTCCAATATTATTCCTCTAGTATTATTTTTTTTTTTGTCATTAGCCTTATTAGCCACAGCCAATCATGTTTTATTATTTATTTATTAACTTTTATTTATTAACGCTAAATAAGTTACAGTGTCCTCCCTACCGTTTTATCAGTTACAGATTATATATTATTTTTACAGCTAATATTCTTATTATTAATACAGTTATATATTTCGTCATAAATTTTATCCAATTCGAGAAACTGTTCAAACAATACGTCAGATTTTGCATGATTTTTCTTTAAACATTACAATTATACTGTGTACATTACGTTATGTACTTTACTTTTATTTTTTGCACATTTACGTCGTTATTATATGAGTTTATTATACATTTTATGGCCAATATAATCTGTTTACATTATTTTTTTCACTAAAATTTTATCTTTTTTTAGTGAACAAAAATAATGTAATACATGTGTGTATTTGTTGGAATAAGAAATCCAAGCTCGGTAGTTGTTTATTTATTCAATGTATATAGGATCGATAAAGTGCTACATATACATGCAACAAATAGCAGGAAAGGATCTACCGCTGAACGATTAGAGCCGCTTAAACCTTGGAACCAATCTGGTGAGTGAAAATACGACATGTATGGCCAAAAAAGCTGGTAAAAATGCGCTATTTCGACTTGGCCGCAAATGATATTGGCCATGTGCAACCCCAAGGGTTGACCGTCGCAAATTATCGGGCTTCCTGGGTCTCCGCCACAAGGGCCAGAGTAATAATTAAAACCCCAGGTGCACACTTCGCCCAAACACTCCATGTTCTCGCCCGTCGAGGCGTATTTTCTGCACGTCTCATTCGGCATCGGCTTGACTTGCATAACTTGCAAATATTTCCAGCCAAACTTCAAATACAATGCACCTTGACGTGATCTGTCGCACTCGTACAAGCTCCAGCTCCAACCGACGGAATAGCAAGTCTTGTTCCGCATGACCACATCCATCCAAGCCGCCTTCATTCTCAGATCACTCCAAAGGTCCATCGGTTTTATCCTGAAGGTTTTAGCAAAAGGTCTATTCAACTCGACCAACGCTATATCGTGGTAATAGTTATGGTCCGGCCTTGGGGAAAACATAGGATGAACGTGACATTGTATAATATCTCTGCCTTCGATATTACTGGAGAAAAAATAAGCACTTCCACCATACACGGCATACCTTTTTATATCCTTCATAACCATATTATTGGTTTTAGTGTCGTAATGTGCAAAACACCGTCCAGCAGTGACGAATCTAGTGTAGGACACTAGTGTCCCAATACACCTCACCGTATCGCTTTTCACACGCACGACATAAGGAAATTCCCCCTCTCTCATTGTTCTGTATTCGTCAAGATCGTCATCGTCACCCGTCGTTATACGGATTAAGTGAATAAGGCACGTTAATATGCCGAATTGTTTAAACATTGAAATTATATCTGAATTGAAATTAACGTAAACACTATCAAAACTAACACACTATAACGACACACATAAAAATTGGGAAAAAACAACATCGGCTGAAAATTAAAAAACAAAACAAAAATAACGGACAGCAGCTGCATAAATTGACAAGTTCTATATTAATAATAACACACGACAGGCAAGAATGACACATCTACACGGAAATTTGAGCCCTGAAGATGATCTCAATAAAGATCGAAACGTGGCACGATAAAGAAAATGTTTTTCTAAAACCTACGTCATACCAGAACGCATCTCACCATCTCAAAAATAATCATTAATACTAACAGTAATAATAATCAACCTTTCATTGAATAGAATAGGAAATTTAAACTAAAACACAATCATTAAAATTTTAATAACAAATGAAAAAATTACTATTAAGGTGTTGACAAGGCGACTCTCGTAAAGTCTCAAATCCTGCGCCCCTTAATACGAACCGTACATACTCAAAAATGAGATTTTTTCAAAAAAATCATCACTCCGTAGCGATAGCTATCATTGACGAGAGCGCAAGTTTTTGTTTAAAAAAATGGTTTTATTGTAAATATGTCGTATTCATGGTGAAGTGGGTCTCCAATTGGGTCCGTATTCGCTCGTGGGTTTGTTGAATATTCAAACGCGTTTCCCCATCTTGAGTTCTCACTGAAGACTGAGTAGTTCAATAAGTAGTTTTTCCAACAAGTGGCCCAATGCCGGTTATTTCTTTTTATTTATTTTAATAATCCATATTTTTTAAGAAGAAGAAGAAGAAAGTGTGACGAATAGAAAGGGGAAGGGAGTTCCAGAGTTTAGGGGCTCGGGTCAGAAAGGATCTTTCGAAGGTATGGGTTGTATGTTGCGGAAGGATAAGGTCGATTGGATGAGTGGGTGTTACGAGTGTGATGTGGGGAGTTGTGGAGGGATCGGGTGATGTAAGGAGGACGACGAGTGTGGATGGACTGGAAAAGAAAGCAACCTAGGAAATACTGTGCACGGAAGGAGGGGTAGAGCCAGGAAAGTTGGGAATACAACCCCGACACCGGGATCCCCGTGGGGTAACCAACACGAATCTTACGCAATAATTCATAATACGCTTCAATCGCGCGTTCCCCCCCCCTCCGAGAGACTACTGTATGCCACACAGCTATAATCGAAGAAGGGAAGTATAAGGTAAGATACAAGGAGATTGCGGGTGGAGAAAGGTAAGAGAAACCAGGACCGACGAAATAGGCTGAGGGAGGCTACAATGGCGGGAAATTTGGGAATGTGAGGATGCTAGGAAAGGTTTTGCACAGATTACTCCTAGGTTTTTAACCGAGGAGCAGAAGAGAATGGGATGGTCATTTAGCAAGAGAGGTGGGATACTGGGGAGGGAATTTTCACGGATTTTTGGATCTTGAGAATGGCCGAGTGAAGATCGGAAAGGTGGAAAGATATGTACATTTGGGAGTCATCGACATATAGGTGATAGTTACAGGCCTGGATGGAGTCGGGCAGCTCGTTGATATAAATGGAAAATTTAGTAGTTCAATAAGTAGTTTTCCCAACAAGTGTCCCAATGCCAGTTCGACTTGTTAATGGTACATTCTAAGAGTATTGAATGAAGTTGGGAAGACTGTTTTTGATAGAGCCCAAGAAAAAGGAAGTAACTGCTGGAAAGCAAAATATAGCGGTTTTGTATAGTGAAAGAGTTTAAATATAATGTTAATACACAAGTATATTTCATATAAAATAAAAACCGCCCATAACATTTATCAAGTTACTGGTAAGTTTTAATCGATAAAAAAATCGGTAAGGCCTAGCAGGTATGAAAATGTAATTATAAAAAAAATCTAACGTAAACTATCTAGTTTTTTTTTATTTATATTAATAATGTAAAACTGGTAATAAGCGCAATATGATAGGAATTAATAGCAGAAATAAATCAATCGATGTATGACTGGAGCCGCTTAAAGCGGCGAACCCACTTTCTGATAAGAAATCAGACGAATAAGGCCAAAAAAGTTGGTAGAAATGCATCATTTGAAATTGACTGCAAACTAAATTGGACAAGTGCAAGCCCAAGGGCTGACCATCGCATATTATAGGACTTCCGGGGTCTCCACCACATATACCCTCTTTAAGATTTGAACCCGTGGTGCACACTTGGCCCAGGGTGTACATGTCCTCACCTGTCGGGGCGTACTTCTTGCACGTCGAGTTTGTTGTCGGCATAATTTCTATCACTTGCAAATATTTCCAGACAAACCTCAAATATAATTGGTTATTTTTGGGATCACACTCCTGTAGGTTCCAACTCCAACCGACAGCATAGCAAGTCTTGTTTTTCGAGTACACGTCGTCCCAAGCATTCATCAGTTTATTTTTATCCGATAAATTTATTGTTCGTAGGCCACTTTGTTTAACAAACGGTGATGACAATTCTGCTAAAGCTATATCGTGATAATAGTCTCGGTCAGGATTTTCTGCAAATTTAGGGTGAATAGACACGTTTTTAATGTTCCTGCCCAGGATATTACTGGAAAAAAAATAAACACTTCCAGCATACGCGGCGTACTTATTCAAATTCTCCGGTACCATTTTATTGGAAGATTTGTCTAAAACATAAAAACACCGCCCAGCAGTGACAACTCTTGAATATGTCACAAGTGTTCCAATGCACCTCGTGTTAGAGCTTTTGATACGTACAATGTATGGAAATTCATTTTCATCAGCTTCTCGGGATTCATCACTTTTTGTACTTGCTATTACGCACATCAAACACGTTATAAATGTTAGTTTATTCATTTTATTAAAAACTGAACAGAATAAACTGCAATAGTAATGTGTTACTTTTCAAGACAATCGATTGATTGAAAAACAAAGATCGAACACAAAAACAGTGTTTTATTTGAAACACATGGAAAAAGTGCTCTCTTTGCCTTTTTAACGACCACAAATCTAAATCTCTCTATTTGTGAGAGAAAGGAGGACCTATACGATTTTAATGGTATAGAAAGGGAAAATGATCGAGGGAGGGTAAACGCTACGTTTTAATACAATTTTCACTTTTTTCACTATTTTCTCAGTTTAAACTTTAAGAAACCATGTCATATTACACATCATTTGAAAGAGGAGCTTTTTTCTCCAAAACAAGAATTAATCTGATAAAGGTAATTTTAAATTTGTAAACAATTACACTCAGTACGTATTTTAGTACGGAAATTTTGTTGTTGCTACTTTATTTTTTGCTCGGATCAAAATTGTGAAAGATTTTCCGCGGGGACTTAATTGTTTACATAATATTAAACAGTTATTTAAGACCAATCGAATAAAAACCATTAAAAATTCGCGAAGTTACGGTAGTATTTTATCATAAGATTTCTTCCATCTCTCTCGTGTTCTCTCTCTCACACACACACACACTCTCTCTCTCTCTCTCTCTCTCTCTCTCTCTCTCTCTCTCTCTCTCTCCGTTTTGATTTTATTTAGTATTTTAAGTACGTCTGACGTCTGACGGACTACGTCGCCTGACAATATGTCGAAATCATATGTAGGGTTCCAATCTTCGTAGAGGTCATTAGACAGGTGGAAAAAAAAGACTAATTGTTGGGTTCACCGAGCTTTCGGCACCTTATAGTGCCATCATCAGGGCCTATTTTATTACAAATTAAAAATAAATACACAGTAACATACAATTAATAATTAATGTAATAAAATGATATACGTACTTTCCCAAGCATTTTGGATTTAAGGTTATGGAGTCTAATGGCCTCTACGAAGATTGGAAACTCCATAGATTATCTGGACATCATATGTCCAAATTAAATTCAAAAGAGAAAAGAGTCTACAAAGCTTTTGAACATTTTTCAGGATCGTAATGTAACCTCTATCAGCGAACCCGGGCCAATTTTTTCATATATATATATATATATATATATATATAAAACAGTTCCGTGACTGACTGACAACGTACAGACCAAACCGAGGGATCAAATGGCTGAAATGTTGACGGTGCATTCCCATAATGACATGGATAGCTAAGAAAGGATTTTTTTTTATTTCCGTCCCTACGGGGATCAGATGGACAATTCAATGGATAAACATAGACCGAAGTGAACTGAAGAAGAAAAGCATTTGAGAAATGAGACATTATACTAGAAAGCCATACAACCACTCTGCATCGCATTATGAACGTACATTAAAACAGGCTAAAACAAGAGGATGTCTTTCATGGTCATTCTGACGTGTTAGTTTTCAATGCAATTTCGAATGATAACAATCAAGGTCTGCAAAATCGTACAACAAAAAAAATTGTATGATATGTAGAATGCAAAAAAATGAGATAAAGAAAGACCCAGTGTTGGTAGAGTTAAAGGCAATAGTACAATCGAGACCGAATATCTTAGGGGGAAATTTGTTACACCTGATCTCGATTCCTGTCCCGATAAATTAAAAAGCCTTTTATATGGATTCAAATAGATCAACAAACATAATAAATCTAGTCGCTTTTGCCTCCTTCAATGCTCAAAATGCAGATACAAATTCAACTTCATGTAGATTCAAGGTGCAACAATATCAAAGCTATATATCTTATATGTTATGTATACGTTAAAAAACACTCGGAGCTTCGGTCAAATATACATTTGAGAAGCAATGATGAACGGAGCTCAGAAAGCCAAACGGCAGAGGTTTTCAACCTATTATGAACCGCAATCCAATATAAAAATCTCTTAAAAATTCACAATTCGAACATAGATAACTCGTTGTAGGTTGAAATGGGTAGTTGGTGTCCGAGTGGATCGAAGTCACGATAGCTCAAGTGGCAGAGTAGCGGTGCCTTTAGCCGAAGGTCGTGGGTTCGAATCCTGCTTGTGACAGTGACTTTTTCATTTCAACCAAAATCTTACATAGAAAGTTTAATTAATAGAAAGAAGTAATTTGGTCAATAGACCACTAAATATAATGGACTAGATAACTAAGTAATTTTACATTTCTACATGAAACCAAAGTGGTAGATTTTATCAAAAAAGTTAACATGAGAGCAAATTGTTTTGACATTCTAGTAGAGGATTGCACTATTCAATCCAATGCAGACTAATGCACTATTTAATCATGCTTGCATAAATTTTGCTGGCGCAATTCATTAATTAGAGTATTCCGTCTTTTCCCGTTTCTTGGAAAGCTTTCTGTCTGAAAAAATTTATTGTTTGTGTTTAAAAGGAGGTACTGAGCGTTTCGGGGTATGTGTTTAAAAAACCTAGTTACTAAGACCATCAGGTCCTGGGGACTTCCCATTCTTGCATTTCACGAGACCTGCGTCCAATTGTTTAAATGAAAAAGGTTAGTCGAAGAAAGGATGCACCGCGTCCATTATAGACGGTTGAAGAAAACGTAGGAAAGCATGGGTATAGTACCGGCATAGGTGAATTCCACTTGTTTATATCTATAGGGTTTTCTTGCGAGTACTTTGGGCTTCAGAATTTTCTTACAATGGCCCAAAACGATTTCGAGTCTGAATAAAGGTTAAGTACATGCATTTACGTTTTAGTGGTCAGTTGACCAAGTTACTTATTTCAATTAAATTATTGTTCTTTCAATGTAAGGTGACACCAACTAAACAGCTCCCCGTGGCCACTTCATAAGTACTGAGAATCCAATCCTGATTACACGACAATTGAAAATAGCAAAAAGAGGGAAAATTCGAACGGTGGTAGGTTCGAATCCCGCTCGTGACACTGACTTTTTTATCTCAACCAGAGCCTTACATGTTAAGTACATGGCTGAAAAAAAATGTCTTAAATAAAAATATAGTAACTATTAACAAACTTTATCAATAACCAAAAAATTTCTAAAAGCCAAATATATTTCAAATAAACTAGGTCATAAAAGAAACTTTTCTTGGTCAAAACTTGGACTTTGACCTCATTATCGTGATTCTAGCGTTATAAAACCCTTAGATGCGGACTATCGCGGAAATCGGTATAAATTATTTTTTGACTGATAATTTCGACGACCTTAGTGATTGACATTCCTGGCGGTGGGGTGAATGTTATCTTTCATACGTACTCCTGCATTTGTGGGCACCTTTTTGATTATATTAAGGTTATCGCCGGATTAAACGTTTAGTCAATTCGTTATTGTAAGAAGGAGAGACAGTCTCGGTTCATTAAATAATATTTTTTTTTATACTAGGGTTCGCAACAGCAGACGAGACGTTGTAACAACCCTCAGGGTGCAGGGCGAATGCAGGGCCGGGATTCGAACCCGGTACCTTTACCTTACAGTGGTGAGTGCCGTGTCAACGCCTAAACCATTGCGGCCAGCGACGCCCCTAACAATTATTATTGTTCCACTTTTCATAATTATTGTTATGAAGTTCCAATTACACACTTCCTCTATACACTTATGCACTTAGCGAATGGAATATTGTTGGTAAGGCTGATAAATTTCTATTTAACATTAAAAATTTCTATTTAAAATGTAATCTACCTTTTTATAAAATTAGAATATTCGCTCAACTTAGGCTGACTTTGGACACAAAAAAAGGACATAATTATTTATCCGATCAGGGGATATTCTGCCTTGCACGCGTTCTAAAGTAAGTGACAATTTGCATAATTTTTTATTGGAATGCCTGCTTACAGACCCGTTAAATTAATGCTCCTAAATGACCCGGTAGCTCTTGATAATTCCTTAATAAATTTAATGAAGGAGCCAAGTGAATCAGCAATTCACAAGATGAAAGCTAAACATGTACTCCTGCAACTCATTGATCAAGAATTATTGTGTTTAAATAGGTTTATATGTCATGTTGTTGACTATTACTGATACTTATCTTTTTTTTTTTTTTTTTTTTTTTTTACATAGGTGCCGGTGTTTTTGAAAAAAAGCCGTTTTGTGAGTATGTCGGGTTCGAATGCAGAGCGGCTGGATTCGAACCCGCAACCTTTAACTAACAGTGATGAGTTATCTATTGCATTCACTATACAATAAGTATTGTACTGACGACTTACTATCTAAACTACATACTTGTACTGACTCCTTGACGAACAAAAATAAAATACATAAATAAAAAATATTTAAAAAATAAAGAAAGCAATTTCACCGCATGTGGATCCATTATTTTTCCTTTGCTATTTCGGACAGGAGAAACAGGATGGACTTGGATCGAGAAGCAAACCTCGGTCAGCAACATAAATCTTAGTCCTATTCAATATTACGTATACCGATTAGCAATTCTCCCGATTGAATTAAATCAATATAACTATTCTCAAAGATTGACCCAACTACATCATCCACGCGTATTTGAAAGTTTAAGGGATCGATTGTTCTACATTAAGAATAACCAAGTAAAATTACGAACTGAACATACGCCAAGCATAAAGCATCAGCACAAAATAACACGATCAATACTTCAGCCAAATTCAGATTGGGAAATGTTCTTCCATCTTCATTTCAAGTAAATCCTCAGGCATTGCAACAGTTATACCATAATGCGATCGCCATTTCCCGTAACATCGGTCGTCCTATTTGTCCATTATTGCCATTTGCGATTATTTGTATTTGTCCATAACCATGACATGCAATCCCAATTGGCCAGAAATAATCACGTCATTTCTTCATGGCACGACTGCATCAGACCTTCCTACTTTTGTACGTCCTTTGCTTTATTAAGAGTATCTGGCATTATTGAAAGAATTGGAAATTGTATTTGGAAAGGTCCGAGTTTATTCATATATAGTTTAATTTCAAAAGAGAAGATTACCGCATGTGCATCTCCTTGTTACGTAGAATGAAAAATTACTTTCAGTGGAAGATGAGGATAAATTTGTAAGTGTGGAAATACATATATCCGAAATCCGAATAAAGAATTTCACCCTTCATTGTGGCATAAATTGATAAAACATATGTAACGTGGTTCTCACGTTAAACAGTCACGGTGTTGGGATGAACATACGCGCATCTGTTCGAAAACGTATGCAAAACCGTTTACAGAAGATACCGATATGACAAAACTTGGTTTTCCTTTGTACAAACGAAGGGCAAACTTTTATACTAAACGTACACAGTTCTATGATTGTACTACTATTGAACATTGCGCTTCTGTCATGAATAACAAATACATTTACTAATAAAGGTCACCGCAGAGCACGTTTCACCGTTTGCAAAGATTTGTGCGATGAAGTTCAGTACATAGATTCTAGATAATGTGGAATGGAATGTCCGTGGCCTCAATGGAATTACCAACCAGGGAAGTTACTGTGCGAGTGGATCGAAGAGCAGCGGCATATTTAGCCGAAGGTCGTGGGTTCGAATCCCGCTCGTCACATTAGCTTTTTCATTTCAACCAATACCTTCCATCAAGATTAATTAACTGAAATAAGTTATTTGGTCAATCGGACCATGAAATATAATGGATTTAAACACTAATGTCACAGTTGCTGAAGTATTTGAACAGGGCGACCTCGTCTTCCATGATACCCTCTGCCAACCGCGAGCTTAAGTTTAGTGGTCTTTTCTTTACTAGCTACTATTCATTTCTTTCAGAATTTGTTCTCGCTCGGCCTCATGTGAATTGTAGTAGTTTATGATAAAGGCTCTCTTCTACATAGCAGTTGCGGCCGTTTGGCGATGTTCTACCGTTAATCATGTAAAAATATGAACCGCAGATGCCATGGCCAGTTCGGGTTCGTGTAATTGTTGAGAAGAAGGCTTTTTTTTACTCTCTATATTTCTTGAAAGCACGGCTTCTTTTGTAATGTTGGGAATAATGAACGGTAGAACTTCCCTGCTGTGCCCGTGTCGTATCAATTTTGATATGAGGGAGAACTTTAAAGGATGCCTCCTTAGCTAACTAGCCGACTCGTGTACAGAATTCCATCGTATTTTTATTAGACAATAAAAATTCCACTGCCACTCATATTGGTTTTGTAAAAACGGATAAAATTGGTAAATTATGGTGGTTATCTTCGTAGTTAACCATTCCCTGACCGCCTTCCGCTTTCCCTTCGTTCATCAGTAATTAAGTAAAACCCCTCCCTCTTCTCCCTCAACTCTTATGGAAAGAATCAGATTTAGTTACGTACAGATGAAACTTAGACATATATTTAAAATAATGGAAAATTTCTAAAGATTCTCAATTATCTGACTGATATCCTTTCATGTTCTGCGAGAAATCTGAACACATCTAAACTTTTAAGATGCTATAGAAAAGCCCATGGTTTAATTTTCAAATGCTGGCAAGCCAGTAAAAAAAAAGTATTTGCACTTCCAAATCTGTTCAGCTAAACTGATTCAAATATTGTTTAAGATGCATATCTTGGCGCCAACACGAGCTACAACCGGCTCTGCAATGAACTGAAGAAAAATTACTTCGAAGCGAATGGTCATAGGTTTAAGAATATCTCAGATGCCAAACAATTTGTCACTTGCTAACAGCTTCCTTAAAAAAATGTTTATCTGTGGCTCTGGTATAACCCCAGAAGCATAGGTTTCACATTTCGAAGCTCTCCTTAACTCCCCTCAACCCAATCCCATCCAGTACGCATTTAGTCTCTTACGCCCCCTTCTCTTGCGTGGAACTCAATGAAGTCATTGCCAACCTCAAATTAAATAAAGCTCCGGTCCTGATCGCATAACCCTTGAATTTTTTGCCTCCCTTACTGAGAGGCTTTTGGACTTCAACTATATTTTCGATAAAGACCAACTTCCAACCTCGTTTAGCAAATAAATTATTTTTCCTTTCTTTAAAAATGGTGGCGTAAACAATAAATCCAATTACAGAGGCATCTCTTGTACAGATACAATACCTTGAATAAACATTAATTGAAAGTTGTTATTTGGTCAATCAGACCGCGAAATCTAATGAACAGATAAGAATGTTCGGCGATGTACGTGCTCATAAATTCCATTATAGAATTATGATGCAATGATGATAATAATGATACGTGGAAAACAGGTACGTAAAAACAATTACAAAGTTGTGGCACCATTGAACATCGTTTCAGTCGAAATAGTTGAGAAGTCGAACGTTTTCATCTGAAACTATTGCTGAGAGACGCAAAGGCAATTCCAAGTCTCGATGAATTGCTCACGATAAAATGAGTACAATATTATACTTATCAGGAGGCAGCGAGAGCAGCGGGATTGGGCGAATCGGAAAATTATATGCTCGAAATGTTGGCCGATGCTGGTTCAGTAATCATGCTAAATAGATAGAGGCATTTCTTTGTTTATTTAATAATAAGTGTTGAAGTAGATGCACCGATGCTTTGGTAACAATTTAAATACAAATTAGGCGAACACTCTAATGAAGCTATTGCACTGTCCATCATTCGAGATCTGATTGAAAACGAAAGGATGACAATGAAGCAATATGGTCTTCCTGAAAATATTGATGACTTGAAAATCTTGAAAGAAATTAGGGTCGTCGAAGATCTACAGCGTTGTGATGATAAACATTAGGAACAATGTATACAAAAATTAATTCATACCAGTCAACACTTTTCGGTACCAATAATTTGGCCGTAATCGGAGAAATGAGTAGCTCTCAAAATATGTTCTTTATTGACGGACCGTGAGATAGCGATACGATATTTTCATATACAGATACATTCCTGCAGACATTTGGGCAAACAAGTTACAACCATTGGTAGGACAGGAATAGCGGCAGTTCTTCTAATTTTAGTTGAAGACCCCGTCACATTGAACAACTGGTGAAGTAAAATGAAACGGGCTCTCAAAGATACAGACATTTTAATCTGGGATGAAGAGTCGATGATTCCCAAAACTGTATTAGCACCATCGATCAGACATTTGAAGATGTTTTTAACGACGATAATGCATTCTCTGGGAACATTTTTATGTTGGGTAGTGACTTTCGATAAGTAAACAGAGGCAGGGGAAAATTTATGAATCATGCTTAAAAAAATTTTTTGTTATGGAATTATTTTCAAAAATTCAAATTGTCCAAAAATATGTGCGGATTCAAATGAATTTATATAATGCAATAACCAACGGAGGACAAATTATAGGTGTAAAGGATCAGGGTAATGGCCTAAGAAAAACAAGTTTTTAAGCCACGCCTAGCATTAGACCTTTATTAGGCCTTCCTCAGGGCACTATACAAATGATATTAAACTCATGGATTTTGGATTGAACCAGGTTTAGGGCGTAAGTTGTCACAAGAAATAATGTTCATTTACAAAAACGATAGAGCGTGTAATTTAAAGACAGATATAAATGGTTTGAATTTAGTGTACCGTGGGCTACTTAGTTTACTATACACCTGTAATTCCATTGAATGTTCAATTGGTTATCGGAAATAACATTAAAAAATCTATTAGGTTTCGTGGTCCGATTGATTAAGGTTTTGGTTGAGATAAAAAAAGTTAGTGTCACGAGCGGGATTCGAACCCACGACCTTTTACGCCGCTGCTCTACCATTTGAGCTATCGTGACTTGGATCGAAGTCGGTGTATTTAGCCGAAGGTCGTGGGTTCAAATCTCGCTCGTGACACTGACTTTTTTTATCTCAACCAAAACATAATTAAAAATTAATTAATCATAAAAAAACTTGAAAACACCCAGGATATATTATGCGATAACTTAAGTGAAGAGATAATATTAGATTTATCTACGATTTACTACCAGGAGAAATTGATAAGAGTATTTCCATAGATTATGCTGAGTCACTAGCTGGTGACAAAGCCGACAATGAAAACGTAGTATCCAATCCAATATTTACAATCAATGACGCCTTCTGGTTTGCCTCCTTCAGAACTGCATTTAAAAGCAGGATGCATCGTTATGCTATTGAAAACTTAGTGCATAGGAGTCAGTTTGTGTAACGGGATCCGTTTGATAATAAGAAAAACTGAAGGAACGAAGTACACAGCGAAATTTAATTGCCCAGCTTGTTTACCACGACTAGCAGAGGTGTCAAGTCACAATCTCGGTACATGCAAATATACTCAATCAATGCACCAATTAGTAAGAGAAACGTTACAAACCCAACTACACGGGACTACACCAAGCATTAGCAGACATGAGAATCCCGAACTTTAAGAATCAAACGAACATGGCACAATGGTATTGTCCGAATATGACAATCCATTCGTAGTTTTGTATTTTGAGGTTAAAATTTATTTATTATTGTGGGTTGTTATACTTAAGCTCAGTCCACACTAGGGGCAAAGTTGCTCATCTTTGCTGGAACAGCTCCGATTCAATGTTGCGCGTCCATTTGGGGGCTGCCCCGCAACAAGTCAAGTCTACACTACAAAGGCAGTTCCCTACAAAATGTCTCAGTAGTTAGGCCTCGCGGGTGTTATTCTGTCATTGTTATTATTAATTCAAAATATAAATGATAGTAATCAAAGGAGATGGTGGGTCCGCGTAAATTGTTTAGTAACAACAATGATGTTACGCCGCAATCTTTCGGACACATTAGGGATATAAGAGGGAATGGGATTTGTCAACTTTTTACGATTACAACTAATGATTTTGCAAACGGTTGCGCCGAAGGGGTTTAACGAAAACTCAAAATTTAGAAACCCCATTTCCCCTACCGTGAAACTGGCAACCAGACTCACTCCGGCTGCCCCCGGAACACGCGTCTACACTTGCAATGTTGCACAACATTATATCACTGAATCCCGTTTCACGTAGACCCGCAATACACTTCACATACATGGGGACATGTGCTGAATCTCCTTTGAATCAGGAGTGTTGAGATTGTAGACTAAGCTTAAGGCTAATTACAAATGAAAACTGCAAAAAGCAGAGACCACATTGTCATGTTATAATACTAAGTTTTTTCGGTATCAAATGTTGGCTGTGAAATAAAACACGTGTTAATCTAATAAGCTATTTAATTAATGCAAATTTTGAAAATGTTGTTTGTAGGATTCGGCCAAATTTAAAATATGGGTAGATGTTTTATCATTTTCCTTTTGTTCCCTGCTATGTCGTGGACAGGGAATAACGATACTATAAAAGTAATCGGAGGACGTGAAGCTTATGAGGGCGAATTTCCATATGTCGTCTGCGTAGTGGGTGATAACAGATGTGGCGGAACGTTGGTAACCCTGGACAGGTTTATAACGGCCGGTCATTGTTTCCATTACAAAGGGGATGCAATTGATCTGTCTAATGTCCTGGTGTTGGCAGGATCGATAGACATCCAGTTGAATAAAGAAGGGTACCAATCGAGAAAGGTGGCCATGTATTTGATGCACCACGAGTATCACTTCAAAGAAGATACGACGAGCTTTCACGACATAGCTTTGGCACAGGTTGACAACTCGTTCGTACCTTCCGATACGTTGAAGCCCATAAATCTCTTCTCGAAAGAACCCCGTAAATTTAAAAAGGGCTGGGACGACTTGGTGAGCAAAGGTTCCCTCTGTCGGTCTATGGGTTGGGGCCTGAAAAGAGTGGAGATCGGCCCACATGAAGTAGTACTATCGAATGTGCTGCGTACGTTCGAATTCACACCGTGGCCGAATAAGAAATGCCGTGAACTGTCGAAATTGGGAGAGGACATGACCGAACACGGCGAAATCTGCGCTGCTACTACAGTAAAAGGGGAGATGTTGGGCACTGGCGATTCGGGTTGTCCTTTGATCTGTGAAGGACTAGCCTTCGGAATAAACATCGCCAGAGCTACTCTCAACGAATCGAACAACGTAGAACGTTTTATCCTTTTCTGGCCATACGTAAATTACTTCGAGCTGCCTCTCCTCTAATAATCAATATCAATCAATTCGTTAAAGATAAAACTGTAAATTTGAAACAAACTGTTTTTTTTATTTTTTTTTTTAAATTAAATAGTAAATATATATATTACAGCTGTCATTAGTTTCGTCGGTTTTTGTTTTTGTTTAACAATTAGCCACCCGTAAATGGTTAATTTTAACCTCATGACTAAGTGGAAAAAGAATCAATAATACAGTAATTTTAGCTTCCAACCTTATGTATTTTTATACCTTTTTCCTAATCGTTTTCCATTGGAGGTTTACCTTGTAAATAACCAAAAATGCGAATAAACTTTGAATGAACCCTTTTAAAACTTAAACTAGTGAGGCGTTTCTTCAGACAGTATTTTTTTAAATTTATTTATTATTATTTTTAAAGCACGTAATGAATTGCAAAAATACGATAAAAAATTTGCATTCAAGAGTTCGATCCCTAAGTTTGTTGTTGGTATTTCTCGTAATAAAAGTTGTTTTAGAAAAAATTTCTGGTAACTATAAAAAAAATATTACGCCAATGTATTTTTCGATGCAAGGGAGTAAAAAGTGGCAAAAAGTTAATTTTTCGACTGGTCCAGATGACCCAATAAAGAGATAATAAAAACTTATTTCCATTCTCTTAATACAATTTTGAAAACAAAATAAATCAATTGAGAAAAATTGTTTATTCCCCAAAAGAATTTGAAACAATTTTAAAAGTTTATTTCCCAGTATAATTGTGAGTATGCGAAATATCACAAATGGACGATTTCACAACATCATTGACTTAAGCTATTTTTTCTTCTTCTTTCCTCCTTTTCCGCCTCCTTTCTTGCTTCCTTTGCCACCTCCTTTCTTTCCTCCTTTCCCTCCTTTCTTTTTGCCAACGCCGCTCTGCTTCTTTTCCTTAGGCGGCGCTTCTTCGGATTCGTCGAGGTCGCCGCCTTCGATCTGCGTCCCCTGGTTTATCTGGATCGCTCCGTAACCGTAAGGCGGGGGCGGCGGGCAGACTCCGGACGGAGGCGGTTGACCTAGGCTCAGAATGTAATTTTCCCTCTCGCCTTCGGCTGTCCTGATGGCGCCCTGTGGAGGTTTCTGAGGCCCCATCAAACCGGGATGAGCTCCCATAGCTCCTCCGTAGTACGGGGTCGTCGGGAAGCCGCCAGGGGCCATTCCAGGCATAGTAAGCTGCTTAGGGACCTGAGGGTAGCCCAAGGGGCACTCGGGGTTGACACAGAATTTGGCCGCGGGGCACTTCTCCTTCTTCTTCTTCTTTTTCGGCTTGACCATCCCCGGAGGCAAGGGTATGTCACAGTTGCACAAGTCGAACGGCAGCTGAGGTCCCTTCTTCTTTTTCTTTTTCTTTGGAGGTGCGGTGGATATCTTCTGACAAAACATAGGCTGCGCTTGTTTGGGCTTCCTCGGTTTTCTTAGCACTTTGATCGTTATGGAATGTCCGTTGACCTCGGCAGTCATCTCTTTGTAATCGGGGTTAGGTGGAGGATAACCACCGCCCATCCCCCCGACGCCGCCCATGCCGGGGAATCCTTCTCCGGGGACGGCGAACGGCCCTCCCATCCCGTCTCCGTACATGTTGTAGTAATCGTAGTCGTACGGACCAGGATAGCCGCCCGGCGAGCCGGGGGCCCCGTCACCCGGGTACCCAGAGGGATAACGGCCGTAACCGTCGCCGTAACCGGAAGCGCCGGTCTGCGGATTGACCTGGAACATGTCGGAAGGAGCTTGACTGGGTACGGCGGAAGCCGCTTTGAACAAGAAGGATTTGCATTCCTTCCCAGACATCTGAAACTGGGTGACGATCAGTTTACCGAAACAGGACAGCCTGACGAAAAGCCTGATGTTCCCGACCATCTTACCGTTCCCGTCCCTCAGTTCAAAGGAGTTTTTGACAATTTTCGAAACGGGATTCGCCGTCACGTTTTTGTCCGTCATATTAACGAGATTGGTGAAGCTCGAGCCCAGATCCACTCTGGTGGCGCCGATGTCAATCGCTTCGTTGTTCGCCGGCGAGCCTCCTTTCGACCTCATCACTTTGACGACGAGGTCGAAATCCGGTCTCAAGCTATTTGTCGTTTTTAAAGAGAACAAGCACGACTTACCGCTCAAAAACTTGACGTTCCTCGTATTGTCCGTCGTACTCCCCTGTAAGCAATCCTCACCCAGGATCTGCAGGAACGGATAATTTCTGAAGAAGAAGCATGCGTACGTGTCTTTGTAGTTCATAAGTATCTTCGAATCGTGGCCCTCGATAGAGACATTGTCGACATACACTTCCAAAAGGAAGAGTCTGTCGTTATCCGAAGTCATTTTGTTTTGTGTTTCTTGTTCGTGGAAATGTGTTTGTGTGGAATTATGCTAGACAAGAATCCATTAGGGATTCATATTTAGTTGGGGTGGAAAACAACTGATTTTTTTTCTCTCATGATTTTGTTGAACGACCATATGACCAATATTTATACAGGCCAAACAAAAAAATTTATTATTGCATCACAATGCATTAGTTGATTTTTTTTTACCACTTTCATACCCAAAATATATTCAAAACGACTCAACTCCATGCTTATCGGTTTAAAAAAAATGTTTAGTCTCAACATTTACGTTTTTTTTTTTAAACCACAGCATCTTATGGATTGTTAATCAATTGCATATGGCGTTTAATTTACTTCAATTCACCACTTGACTATTTGTTTTAAACGAAATACTTTAGATTAGCAATAAGACTTAAGCCTCATTTATAAAAGATTAAGCTGATAAAAGGAAATTAATGAATCAATTTCTTTTTAAAAATTTATAAGTATTTAAAAAAAAGTTGTCATTAGTCTCTGAAGGAAAAATACTATTTACAAAATCATTACAGGGAACAAACTAAACCTTTTTCGTTTACGTCTAAAATATTTTATACTTTACATTCTAAATCAATAAAAAAATTACGGTTCCAAAAACATATTTATTATCTATTGCTTCCAGAACATAAATATATACAGACATGGTACATGATGCAGTATACAGGCTGGCCCGCAAGTAATTCAAATTTAAGATGACTTAATTTTTTTCTCTCTCTTTTTTAATTTATGTAAACTTAGTTCCAGAACACAGAAAAGAGAGTGGAATAAAAAGAACTGGTGTTAACGTTGCGCCATTTAACGTGGAAGGAAAACCGGTGATAAATCCACCAAAATCGTTTAAAAAAATTAAAAATATGATATTTTACCTAGACGGAAACACTCACCGCAATATATATTTTTTAATGTTGAAACAAAAGTGAACGTCCTTCAGTGGCAAAAGTTGAAGCGAGAAGTCCTTGGAAGTTGTGTGACGATAAAATTCCGGGCTAAATGACCGCGTATAATACAGATCAAAACGTAATCCTTCTCAATTTAAAAAAGAACTGGCCTTAACAAGTAAGAACGAAAACTTTTGAACAGGAGGGGGCATAATTCTATAATCCTTCTTATCAACAATTACCTCCTTCCCGGCCGTCCTGGTCATGCGTGACACAGCTGTGACCGATAAAGAATCGCTGAAGTATTCTCTGACGTCAAACGCAGAGTTAGGTTAACTAATTTGTTAAAGGAAAAAGTAATTACTTTTGTAAGCTATTTGCATTGAAATAGCATAATTTATTTGAGCTAAAACTAGAGAATATTCTAAAACTTGAGTCAATGATAAAAACTAAATGTAAATATTATAATAATGAAATTTGTCGCTACCTGTAACGCAACAAACAGATTACGACCTGTATTGTCTACTTTCCATTCCATCTTATTACAAAAACAAATTTATAACTGTGCTGGCAGATATAAATACTTTTTGAAGTCAAGGGACAATTCGATTATCCAACCACTGAAAAAACTGTGCCCTGAAATCAACGGAGTTTACCTTCGCTCCGCAGAGGAGAAGGTTCATCAAACAACACCTTGCAGCGAGAAAATAATGCTTCATGAAAACATGGAACATTGCCAGATTGCTGACCTCAACATAGCCAACAATTTACTGCAACGAATTCCAGAAATTAACCAATACCTAGCAATTTTTGCGAAACCTGACACTGTTAAAATAGAAACTTCAAGTGGCCTGGAAACGCACAAATTGAAAGGGTTGTTCCTCATAGATGCAGAAGACAGCACACAGGAACAAGGAGGTTAACCCACAGACCCGCACTTCTGGTCGACCTCACAGGTTGAGTGGCTTGTCGTTCTTAATGGAAAAGATGAAGAACCTGAACATCACCGTTCATTTATGAAAATTGGAAATGGACATACCAACGTTCACCCACAACATTCACGAAACTCCAGCAGTACATGTTAATCCCAGCCTTTGGACTATCCTTCTGTTTATAATTCTACCCGTCATATTAACTGTAATCACCATTATTTTGTATAGATATAAGAAAAGTATGTTAGCCTTAAGTAACCACAGGTGTAGTTCATTGCAAATATAAAATAATACCTTAGCATAGAATAAGTTAGTTCAAATTTTTATAATTGTCATTTTTTTATATCAGTACTTATTTGTAATTTCTTTGAATAAAAGTTTTTTAAAAACACATTCGACTATTTTTTTTCTTTGTCGCTAGACTTCTAGCAAAAGTGCAAGTTGGACAATTTGTAATAAATAAATAGTAACAACAATAAAGAATTAAATGAAAAGTAATTTCAAAGTCAGTTTGAGTTGGGTGTGTAGTATCTTTAGTCCCTGACTACTTATGATTTTTTGTTTGTTTTTCCATGGAAATTATATTGCATGAGAAAAACTAATACATATCTATCATCAGATAATAATAAAGAAGATATTGAATTTTCTTTTAAATCAGACAAACGTGATGGAATTAATATTATTAAACTAATAATAATAATAGTGTTTTTTGTCAAAATAATTTTTTCAAATAAAATGCTAATGTTTGTATTATTATTTATTAAATCCATTATGTTTAGTGGTCTGATTGACCAAAAAATTCTTTAATTAATTCTTTTTTTAATTGTTTTTTATGTAAGGTCTTGGTTGCAATGAAAATATTTTAAAATATTATTATCATCGTAAGACAAAGATTTTTGCATTTTTATATACATATTAATTTTATTTGTATTTAAATTATTAATAAGTAATTAACTAAAAGTTATTATATTTATTAGTTATAACAATATTTTTAAATGGAGCTTATTTCAAAGGATAAGCTAATCCCCTACAGCAGGATCGGGCAGTGCGAGCTGAGCTACGAAAGGACGAGGAAGGACTCTCTCAATTTTAGGACTGTTGAAAACATCATGCCTTGAATTTAACTGAATGCGTTCGCATGTGGTAACTGATTTATTTTCCTCCTTCTTTAACCCTTCAGTTTGAGTCTGTTTATCCAAATATGAAATTCACCTTTTGGCTTTTATAATAGGTCTCCCTCCTTTGAGATATTTGCCATTGCCATTACTGTTGGTTACATCAGATAAAACACGATCTTGATGTCGTTGGATGTTCTAATGGTGTAAAGGATCTTGATGTCGTTGGATGTTCTAATGGTGTAAAGGATCTTGATGTCGATGGATAGACTAATGGTGTAAAGGAACTTGATGTCGATGGATAGACTAATGGTGTAAAGAACTCTTTTAATGCCACATTTGGCTTTGGCATCGAGGGGACAGATAGCTTATTTTAATCGGATTGGATATCAAAGTACTCGTCCGCTCTGAAGTTTTCCATGATCGAAACTTTTGTATTGGTTATATTATATATTTGATGATTATATCATATATTCTTTGTATCCAATCTCTCCACAAATTGAGGAACGTGGAATTCGAAGGTTTTGCCGTTAGACTGTGAACGTGAAGGGAAAGACGTATTGTAGAAACTCTAGTAATTTTTATAACAATATTTTTAAATGGAGCTTACCTCAAAGGATAAGCTAATCCCCTACAGCAGGATCAGGCCGTGCGAGCTGAGCTACGAAAGGACGAGGAAGGACTCTCTCAATTTTGTTTGAAGACACCTGCTCTTTTTATGTAAATGGCAAGGAGTTAGTTGCGTATGTCAAAGATCACATATTTTTTTCAAATCTGAATACATTTATTTTTTTTTAAGGTTTTGTTATAATTTATTTGGATCAGGTCCCAATTTTTGTCTTTTCCGTTTAATTAAATTGAGTTTGTGGCACAAATATTTTTTCTTATTTTTATTTTACACTCGCAATGAAACGAGTTTTGCATCGTGTGAAGGGGATTCACCCTAACGCGTAATATAGTAAGATTTTTGTAGTACAAGTAATGGAGTCGGTGACGTTTGACGCTCCATAGACGACGTTCGTCATTGAACGTTGAAGCCTCTTTGGCCCTTTTGAGTTGTGAAGGTTGTAACTGGTTGTAACGTGCAGAACCGTTACTTTGAATTTGAAAATAAGAGAAGTTTGTTAATAATAATTATTATTACGTGTTGATTTTTGTGTCTTTGAAGGATTTACTGTTTGTATGATTTGTAAATTAAAAATCGCTCAATGCTCGTTCAGGACGTTTACACGGCTATCAAGGCCGACAACGTCAAAAGAGCGCTGGAGACGTTCAAGGTAAGACGTTTAAATATTCGTCTTAAATTGTTCAAAAATCTTAAAATTGCAATTGAAAAAAAAAATCCTAAATTAAAATATCCATTTCAGGCTTTGAAGCTAACAAAAGAAAATAAATTCTCGACGTACTTTAATGTTTTGAAATTGCTGAACGAATACATTTATAAGCAGGCTAAAGAAAATATCGTAAAGAAAAAAGGAACTCAGGAAGTTTACGAGTTGACCAAACATTGCTGTGACGTGCTCAGCACGACTTGGGAATGCAAGCAGCTTTCTTTTCTTCAATGTCTTTATCACATTCATAAGTTCTTAATTGATGTAAGTAGATAAAAATTTTCAACTATTTTTTATGTAAAATGGTTGTATATGTATTAACATATATACCAAACACAGTTCAAGTTCTGTCCTTTGTTAAATCGCACAGATTTGGGTTGTGATCACTACGACTAAGTGGAGAAATATCAATGCTATTGTATTAAACAATTATTTTCCGTGAGATTTTCTTCACAACATCCTTTAAAGTCTCAGTGGACCATAAAGGAGAGAACACAGTAGAGCATCAGATACAATGATATGGTATACAGATGGCTCCAAAGCAAACGAAGGAACCGGATTGGGCATTTTCTGTACGAGCCCAAAACATGAGCAATCAAACTCATTAGGGAAGTACACTTCGATGTTTCAAGCAGAAATACATGCCTTCAATGCTTGCGCCATATTGAAACCGTAATAGATCCTGTGTACATATATACACTGGAACTGCATTTTGGTTATTGTCTTAAACTTATTGATTATTCAAAGCACCATTTTCCCTTCATTATAGCAGCAGAAATCACAATTTTTAATCCATCAATTCAATTTTACATCTCTGATTTGAATCTGGAATCGTAGGGCTAGTTTCACGAGGAGTTCAGTTCATTCAATTAGTTGAATGTACTTGAGGTTCCCGAGTACTCGTTGTCACAAGACTAGAGGATCTTTAGCGTCCGCACCTAGCCTATTCGGCCTTATCGGACGTTTTGATTCTCAAGATGAGAGCATACGGCGGAAGAGTGATACCGCCGCAGCATTGGTGTAGAGGTGTCCCGGCCCCTAAGGGCCAAAACAACCTCGCTTTCTGCTTGTCCACTCTGAATGGTCGGGCCCGCATTGTGCATCGGGTCGTATGATCAAGAGATGATCAGGCTACAAATTCATTTATTGACATTAACAAAATACAAAAGAATGATACAATATGAATGAAAGTTTCTAAGTATATTGTATTAAGTATTAAATTGAAGAAATTAATAAAGAACTGTAACATTTTCAGATAAAATTTTAATCTTTTAAAAACATATATTCATAAAATTGTTTTTCTGTTCTAGGACCATCCATTACAATCCAAATACTTATGCGAATATTTTTTTAAGATAAAAAAAGATAAACAAATTAATAAATGGGAAGAAAAGGAAAACTTGGTGATATCTAATGTAATTCATAACTTCCTGTCAAAAATGAATGAACTGGTGCTGGATTCCAAATCAACATTTGGCGATAAAGAGAATTCGCTGAAATCGTGGATTTTGTACGTTATGGAGCTTATCGACCTGCAATTTTATGAAAAAATTTTCAGGCTGTTCACTTTTTTAACAATGATTTTACCACGCCTTAAAAACAGTCTGACTCAAAACGAGTATTTGCATTTTGGCACCTTGACCTGGAATTTATTGGCAGAGTGGTTTGAAAAAATCGCCATGGAAAAATCGAACTTTGAAATCACCGAAAAAGACTTCATGGCTTTCACATGTTTAATAGATAATTACATAGCGTCATTGGGTAGAGATTTGATTATGCAGTACTCGACAGAACCGCTAACAAAATGTATAAAAAGCTTCAAAACCATTGGAAAATTGTACTGCGATAAATTGAATATTGTTGAAAAAGTCATTAAGCTTTGTAATGAAAAAGATGAGGTCGTAATCGACAGTCTGTTATTTGATTTAGTGCACTTGGCCAGTGAGCCTTGGACGGAAAAGGACCGATATGTGCTTTATATTATAATAGAACTTATCTCTCTACATAAACAGCATTTAGCAAAGAACTCTCCGGCAATCAAAACAAGATTGGCTCAAGTGGTAAAACTCTCACTTGCTTTGACCAACGTAAGACTTGAAAATGTATCTCCTAAAAGGGCACAAAATTTGAGTATTGTTGCAGCCTGTACTGGATTATACTTTGTCTTTTCGACGGATCCTAGCAAAGAGTTATTACTCCAAATCTATGATGATGTGGCTCACCTTTTTGCAATTTATACAACCATTGCTAAAGAGATTGATACAAATAGTTATCTAACATATGGAGGTATTTAATTTTTTTTAAATTAAACGGTTGATTGAAAAATTGTTTGTTTTATGTACATGTCTTCAGGAATTGACTACAGCCATACTATTATATATAGCCATATTACATATATGTATACATAATGACCATTTATTAATTAGTATTTTTGTTTGTTTTTTAAGTTGCTACTGCCAACAACACAATGACTGTGTACAAAAAGCAAAATCTATTCCAACAGTGTGCTTTTTTGGTTCGATTGATTATAAGATTTTATTTAAATTTAAGTAAACAACAAGCAGAAGAAGTTTCGGTAAAAGACACTGTTTCATTATTATTTATTCAGGGAATAAAGGTTTCATTTTGATTTATACTCAGTAATCTGTGGTTTTTTATTTTTCAGGCTTTCATCAATGTATCTCTTAATATTCTGACCTGGAGTTTCAGCTTTCTTAATTTATGCATCGATGCACAAATGGCACTGATAGCAATTGCAAGTGTTCACCCGAAGTTTTCCCCTTTCGTTTTTGAAACCTGGGCCGGGATGAAAAACTCCAGTTCTATCAAACTCGACATGGTAAACTAAATTAACTAAAGAAATGAACTTAGAATGAACGTATATTATTTTTCAGACCTTGTAAAAAAGAAGGAACACCTATTTTTTTAAACAATAATAACTCCTGTTATACCCCAATAATAAATAAAAATACGAATCCTATTGCTCATATAATAGAAGGCGAGAATGATATTTTTCTTCCATGTAAAGTGGCGAGTCAGCTGAAGATTTGAATATCCATTGTTAATTTTGTTTTGGAAATTTCGGGGTCAATGCCCCATCATCACCGAAAAATTAATTTTAAAAAATATCTGAAATAACACTTTACTCACACAATATAGAGAATTATGTTGAAAATATATAAATATACAATACTAATAATATATAAATGTAATACAAACAAATACAAAATATGTAAATATAATATACTTCACCTTAATAACAAATTTGCAAATACTTTCTAGAAAATGTATGTAGTATATTGGTAAAATGTTATTTCAGAATTCAGATTTTATTTAAAATAATTTTTTCTAATTGTCTGGAAATGTCCAAAATAAAATTAAAATAAAAGAAAATTTATGACCTCTAGAAAATAGTTATTTCTTCTATCCTACAAGGTCCAAATAGGTCATACCAGATCAAATCAGTAATAAATAAAAATAGAAAATATATTTTAATTACCTTCTTCAAAATTTAGGAGTCAACCGTTGTGACCATTATAAATCAACATGGTGAAAATATTGAAAAATCTTGGCCTCCCTTTAAAGTTAACAAGGCTGACTTAAACACTCTTCTCTCCTGGGAAATAAAAGCCTATTGCAAATTCAAGTCAGTACAAATTTAATAGCAATTTATTTATTTATTATTATTATAAAATAAAATTCGCATTAGGATGACACATAAAGAACCTGTTCTGGCAGCTTACAAAATAGCGGCAAAATTTGTGAAAGACGAAAAGACTCTTGCATTTATATTATTGTGCGCTGTAGACTCAATTTCTTGTGGAGAGGCTGTATCAAACATGATTAACTTTGAAAAATCTTTGTACAATTTCATTCAGCGATTGACTAAGGTATTTTATTTAAGTCACCATTTCTCTTGTCTTTAAACATCTCAAATTGCAATATTATTAAGGATGGTTTGGGCTAATATTAATTTTTCCTAATAACCCTTTTTTTTTTACTATCTGTAAATACATACTGCATGTATGTGCATATGAATATGTGTGTAGTATACTTATTTACTTATTTGATATTTATGTAAATTATTAAATTAAATCAAATGTGGTTGTGTAATTAATGTACAACATAGGGCTGATGGCGGAATATCTAGTATCCTATTGGTCATGACAGCAAGCAGGGGCTTCTGTACATATTATTTATGCTAATGCATGTTGCATGTTTTTGTTGTTACTCATACTTATTTTATTACTAACACTAAGTTGTTTGATGTAATGTATTGTTTGATACGTTTTCTATTTTTCCATACTTTTTTTTTTTTTTATTCCTGTAAATTTTATATTTAATTTTTCATTAATTGTATAGTAATAAGTAATATATAGGGGCGTCGGTGGCCGCAAGGTTTAGTCTTTGACATGGCCCTCATCACTGTAAGTTAAAGGTCCCAGGTTCGAATCCAGCGGCCCTGCATTCGATCCCAACATACTTACAAATGGGCTTTTTTTCAAAAACGCCGGCACCCTGAGGGTTTATATGACCTCTGCTGTTGCAAACCCTCGTAAAAAAAAAAATTAACTTTACAATACTTTGTACTTAAAAAGTTGAATAAAAAACCAAAATAAATTATTTCATTAATATTTACAGTTTTCTTATCCAGTGATGTTTTAATCCAGAAATTTTTCTAGGTGGTTAATGGTGAAGATCACAGTTTAGTAAATGTACTGCTTGGGAACATACATTACCAGTTAGTGAGATGTGAACTTTTAGAGCTGAGGAAGAAGACCGAGGTTTTTTTTATGATTAATATTACATAAACTACTATTAATACTACATACTACTTACCTTACTAATTTTGTTATCCAAAAACAAGAAAGAAGTAGTCTTGCTTGATGACAACATGAAAGCAGACATCCCAATCCTTCAGGCTGATCAAGGCGACGACCTGGACAACACAACGTTCGCGCCTGCATTCTCCTATCTCCAACTTGACGCACAGGCTGATATTTTTGAAAAGATGGATCAGGCCATAGCGTATTGGGAGATTTCGTTAGACTCTGTGAGTGTTGTCTGCTGTTTCATTTTCAAAAATTTAACTTCCTCCAGGATAAAAATTTAAATGTTAATTAACTGTTCAGTGTAATTATTGAAGGAAGAAAAAGGTTTTCTTTTTACCATGAATGGTCTGGATTTTTCATTTTTATTTTTTTATTTTTTATTTTTTATTTATTTATTTTTTTTTTTTTTAGAACAGTATAATTTACAACAAACAAAACTTGATATACTTATTCAAAGTGAATTATATTTTTTTATGTAAAGTGTGGTTGAGGTGAAAAGATTAGTGTCACAAGTGGGACTTGAACCCATGACCTTCACCTTAATTCACGCTTGCACTAACCACTTGAACTATCGTGACTTCATTACCCCCAAGACACTAACTTATAATCTCAACCTAAAACTTATTTAAATTCCCCTCTTTTTGCCTTACATTCAAGTTACGTGTAATTGTTTGAATTCTCAGCGAACTTTAAAAGGCCACTGGGCCAAAGGCCATCGGTTCGAGTCCCACTTGTGCACTAATCGTTTCATCTCAAGCACACTTTACATAAAGAATTATAAATTACTTTGAATTTTGTTAGCTAAGACCAACTAAAACATTAATTTAATAAATTGATGCCTATGTATAAAACCGATTAAGTGTATGCTTGAATTTATTACAATTAACAAGAGTGTATTTATTTTATTTTATTTTTATTTTTTAGTTGACTAATGACATTATTACATCCAGTACCATGAGATATATAAAAGCAGTGGGCTACTTGTATAGGTTGTATAAGTTCAAGGAGAAGGAATTACAGATTTGGCAGTTACTATATAAATTTGCATCTAAACTCTCTTCTTTAAAGTACAAAACAATTGGTAAGAAAGTTTTTTCCCCACTACATTTAAAATGGGGAGAAATTGTGCCCATTTGGAACTTTTCGATTTGACTGTAAGGTCATTTCATTTACTGTAGTGGAAAAAAAAGACTACAAAATGTTCTGCCTTGGTAACTTCTTTAGCTTGGCATACTTTGTACCAATTGGGACATTTCATTTTATTATTAGCATCTAGTTTTTTTAGAAAAGCTGAGGCCATCTCTCATAATATTAGATCACTGGAGGACGATTTAAAACATCTTCGTTATAGGCATTTGTAAAAAATATGGCCAATTGTAAGCTTTATCAATCAAGTCATTCCATTATTTCGTCTAAATACTAACAAATGTAAAATATTGTGTAGTATTAGTGTTGGTGACATTTCAAACAACAGACCAATACTGAATTTGACGAAACATGTCTGACAGATAAAATCGACAAGAAATGACTGATGGGGTGAAAAAAAATTCCTGTCTCAAAGAAACTTTATAAACAAATCTCAAGAAATCCTTGTCTAAATGATCCAGTTTTCACAATTCTTGTTGAGGTCTGTGGGTAATGAACGTACAAATTCAGTGATCGTTATAATCATTCTAAACCCTTCTGTGGCATAGGAATCCACACTATTAACGAATATCTCAGACAGAAGGACAAAAGAAAACGAGCGAACTTTGGAATTCACTTATTGGACATAGACAATCCAAAAATCTTCTAACCAATTTTGGCAAGAAAGAAATCACAGAATGTGTAAAAGGAAGCAGGAATAGACTGTGAATCCTAACAAGATTCCTGACAGGATACTGTAGATTAAATGGACATATAAAGAAAATTGGAATAATCCAAGATGGCACATGTAGATTCTGCAAGGAAGCAGAAGAGACACCAACACACTTACTAACAAACTGCAGAGCTACATTAGCCTGAAGGAGGAAGTGTTTTGGGATGTACAATGTGACCATAGAAGAACTACAACCACTGAAACCGGGCCTATTAATCAAGTTTCTTGATGAAATAGGACTCACCGATGTACTTTAGGCAGAGCACAGGGGATACAATAGCTCTTAAAGGGCGCAGTATACCATACCCTGAAATATTACATCTACATCTACATAATCATTCTAGCCCGCTTCAATTCCAGTCCTCAAACGGCAGAGGGCCATTTAATTTCCTATGTGAATTTGAGTCTGGATTTTCAGCCGGTCATTGTTTAAAAAAAACCATCATTGAGTGCAGTCGTTACGTTACTGTTGTTACTGAGTGCAGATCTTTCTACTCTGTTTATAGTTTGATGTTAGAACATCCATAAGTGTGACAGTATGTGGAATATCACATGTACTAAAGAGCAGCGTTTAAAGTTTTTGTTATACGACACCCAATAATGACACATCTACACAGAAAACAAACACTTTGAGTGAGTACAAATACTTTGAGTCTAAAATTTCTAGCATTGTATAAATTCACTTTTTTTCCACATCCTATATGTATTTATAAAATTTAAACAATGTTTATAAATCCCAGGCCCTGAAGATGATCTCAATAAAGATCGAAACGTTGGCACGATAAAGAAAATATTTTTCTAAAACCTACGTCACACCAGACCTCATCTCACGATCTCCAAATAATCGTTAACTAACGGTCACTAAACACCATACGTTTTTGTTATACATGAAAAAGCCATAAGTGTAAAAATAGTTCTCTATTAGACTGTATCTCTTGCGATATAAATCTGCTTAGTTGAAAATACTATTTTGCTACAGCAATCATTAAACAAATCATCCTTTTCAGTAGGATAAAACAATTTTTAAAAAATGTGAAGAAATAAATATTTTTCAGGAAATACAAAATCCTAGTGGGCATAATTTTAAACTGTGATTAATTTAAAAAAAATAAAAATGTAAATGATAATTGTAATTTTTATTTTCCAGCAATTTCTGAAATGTTGGCTCTCCAGATTTCGGTAAAGCAAACTTCTATTGATAAAATAAAATCAGAATTAGAAAAGTGTTCTGAGTTGACAAATAAGCATTATGTCTGGCAATTATTTCATGTGAATCTCGCAAGAAATGCCTACAACAAAGGAAATGTAGGTTTTGTTCATAAATTTATGTTATATTTAAAAACTAGAGAGAAACATTTGATTTTATATTATTATTAAAATAATTTTTGGTAATATTTTCAGGAAGATCTCTGCTTGGAAATTTTAAATAATCTTGATAGTAACTTGATCAAGTATAATTTTTTAGTTTATGTCCAATACAAAATTTTAATTACTATGGCTAGCCGGTTCACTAACAACAATGAGTTTCAAGAACCTTTTGTATATTCGGTAGTCAAGCTTTTTGAAAATATGCTTTATTTGGTGAAGTTCGGATTGTGGAGTAAGTCGACCGGTATATCACGGCCAGTGTTTGTATAATAAATAAACCGTATTTATGTTTTAGATTCTTTCAACGAACTTTGTGTCCTCCACTGGTTGTTGCTGGAAACATCGTATTTCCTTGGCTCTTTGTACATCCATGCCAATTACGTCAGACAAGCACGCTGTTACACAAAGAGCCAACTGACAGTCGCACAAAGACTTGCCCTGCCTTTGAGGTTGTTTATTTCATCCATTGTTTTTTTTTTTTTAATATAGAAAATTTCAACTAATTTCCCCTCCTCCATTTTTTCAGAGTATGTGATCTTCTTTTAGTTCTCGGACAAGTAGAACTTAAATGCGGTAACACCATCGAGTGTGATTTAATCCTGAAAGGAATTGAAACAATACTCGAATTTAAACAAATCGATTGTGAAATGGAGGGTCAAATTAGAGCGTCATCACCTAGGCTTACGGAAAAAATCCACTCCAACCCTCATTTCCTTTCTTCAGAGTTTCACCATTTATGTCTTTATTGCAACAGCATTGACTATAAAACTCAAGCTTTAAATGCTGTCACTCTCAGAGCAACACATCTAGTTTCCAAAGGGTTTTACAGAAGTGCAAAAGCAGTCTTCAATAGTAAGTATCGTCATTATTAAACTTTTATTATAAAATTTGATGGTTTTATACAAAATTTGCAAAGTTTAAATTTTTATGCAGTTGCATATTTTGTTTACCACCACGTATGACCGAGGAAATCAATTATCTATCCAAATCATGTATGTAGGAAGCTGTAGGTTAAATTTTATAGAGCATATTTTTGCATATTTGATGAATATCGCATAAAATTGCATATTTGAACAATATCGCCTATTTGAAGGATTTTTACGTAAAATACATTTATCACATTAAATATTTAAAATATCTATTGGTTTTTGGGGGAAGCATAAAAAACATCCTTTTAAAAGATAGTTCCTACTCACATTAAGTTGTTTTCCAACGATCCGGATTTTGAGCTTTTAGCTCATCATCAGGTTGAAGGAGTTCTACAACTACGTCTCTCGACTTAAAAATAAAATTTAAAAAATCTATAAAAAATAACAAGTTGACAAAAATAGCAAGTTGGTTTAATTCAAAGACAGCTCAAACAGGCCGTGCTGACAGTAAGAGAAGATTCTAGAAATACCGGCAAAATAACATAAAACCTCTTCTTAGGCCTTATTTCAATTTCAACATTCTCACAAATTTTAAGTGACTGTAGCACTATTTCACAGTAGACATTTTAGAGAAGTACATGTTTATTAACATTAATTATACCTCAATTAGTATAAAATATATAATTTAATTATGTAAGTGAGAAAATATTTTTGTTAAATGTAAATAAACTTTTAGGGGGCATTGGTGGCTGTAATAGTTTAGGTGTTGAAACGGTGCTCATCACTGTAAGGTGAAGTTCCCGGGCTTCAGAATTCAGCGGCCCTTCCTTCGAACCCGACATATTTGCAAATGGGCTTTTTTTTCAAAAACACCGGCACCCCGAGGGTTAAATAAAAACCTCTTAACTTTTAACGTATTAATACTGCATATTATTGCATATTAAAAGACATTCAACTGCATATTTCGGCAATTTTTACTGCATAAAAATCTGGTCTCCGCTTATAATATACGTATGATTAATTCATGCATTAAAACTTGCATGGAAGTCGTCAATAGAATTTTCTGAGAAGTTCTAAAAATTAAAAAGTTCATGTTGTTCTTATTCTAAGCTATTTTCACGGCGGCACCGCCAGTAACTAAAATTGAAAATAATATTTTTATGTCATTATAGGATATTATGTGATGCAAAATTAATTTTAGGAATGTGTGGTGTTTAGTGACCGTTAGTTAATGATTATGTTTGATCTTGAGATGCACTCTGGTGTGACGTAGGCTTTAGAAAAACATTTTCTTTAACGTGCCAACGTTTCAATCTTTATTGAGATCATCTTCGGGGCTCAAAGTGTTTATTTTCTGCATAATTGTGTCATTCTTGTGTGTCGTGTTGAGAGTGCCCACTCTTCGCACCGAAGATGAAGCATACGCATAATATATCAACTCCTTGACTAATATGCATAGTTCATGAGGCCATTAAAAAAAAAATAAATAAATAAAATAAAAATAAAATTGGGCACTCTCAACACAACAGACAAGAATGGCACATCTACACGGAAAACAAACACTTTGAGCCCTGAAGATGATCTCAATAAAGATAGAAAAGTTGGCACGATAAAGAATTTTATAAAACCTACGTCACACCAGACCACATCTCACAACCTCCAAATAATCAATAAAAAAGCGTAAAACAAAACTAATTTATTACCAATCCACTTGTTTTGCATTTTGCTACATTATGCACTCACTCTTCATTACCAGACACACTAAGCTAGTCCCAACTAAATTGTATGCCTAAAAACTGGTTTTTCTCATTACTGAAACATTTTACAAATTGATTTGAACTTAGGTTTAGCTTTTAGAAAACATGCCAAAAGCCCCAAGGCCTGTTGTTCTGTTTTTGTGGTATGGTTGGCACCGTGTATTTATTTACATTTTATGTTTCTAATTTTCATCATGGAAAATTGTAAAAATTGCAAAACTTATATGATGAATAGCTCTGTATGTGGAAATCAATCATTATTTTCACTTAAGGGGTTAAAATAAATGAAAAGAATAATAATCAATTTAATAAAATCTATACATTCTGTTATTTATTATTAATAAATTTTTTAAATATTTTAGTTGGTCACAAGATAATAAATTATTTGGATCAAAAAAGTACTGAACCTGATGAATTGTTCTCCTTACTGCATATCAGCAAGGTTCAATTTTATTCTGCTTTTTGTTGGGCTTATACAATCTGGGAAGAGTATGACAATGCACTCAAATACAATTCCATTTGCTTAGAAGCCTTACTTAATGCAAATTCTGAATGTGAAGATCTTAGGTTATCCATCCTCAGCCAGAAAAACAGCATCATATGGAAAAAAGAGGCCACTGGGGACAGAGTAGAACAAGGTTCATATTTGTCTTTATTATTTCTTGTTATAATATTTAAAAAAAATTCTGTTTTTATAGTAAATCCAAGAAGGAGATTCCAAAATAAACCAGTGGGAGACAAGACGCCAGAAAATCCCGAGTCCTTTGTAAATATAAATAGAAATACTAAAACTGTTAAAAGTTTCATCACCCCAAGGCCGATTCGCCGTAAAAAATTGGATATGGATAGTTTAGATGGAGATGAGTTTTTAACACCTTTCAGTTCCAGTGATACACAGGAGAATGAAGATGGTTTAGTATCAAAGTCAAAAACATTAAGACCAAGGCAGTTGATTTCATCTCAACATGAAGCTAGGCCTAGTCAAAACAGACAGAACAATTTTGCAGTGAAAGCAAATACAGAAAAAAAGAACTTAAAAGTAGGCCTAAATCAGCATGGATCTTCTGTCAAGCCTGCAGTAGCGATTAAAGTTTATTGTGATGACGATGACAATAACAAAAAAGTGAAAACAAGTAAAAAATTAACAGCCAAGAAAAATATACTTGCAGTACCTTCTACTTCTAAGAAGTTGGCTAAGAAAAATACTGAATATAAACATAACTCTGGTGCTAGGAAACTTATTTTTAACGTCGATGATAACAATTCCGATGATGATATTGAACTGATTTCAGTACAAAGGAGAGTAAAACCGCACGAGAATCCCAAAGTGTTGAAATTTGTTGATTTAACTGAAGATACGGTAATCGAAGAAAAGAAAAATGACAGCAAAAGTCAGTCAGAAAATAATGCTAATCAGACTAAAGACAGTAATCAAGAGGGAAAGAACAGCTTAGAAGAAATTTCAATTATTGAAAGGACACCACCTAAGTTGACCAATAAATCCAGGCCTAAAATCATTCTCACCCCCCAAATAATCTCAGACCAGTTCGCCAGATTGACAGTAAGCACAACTAAAGCGAAAAAGGCGCCTGGGAAATCAAGTGAAAGGAAACCAATGTCCAAAATGCAAAGTCGGCGGTTATTTTAATACGAGTGCCAAGTCTACAAGGAACTGGAGATTTTTATGAATAAATATCTTTTAAATTGTAATTTTCATTCAATTTTAGTAAATTGTGCACATAGTATCTGTATGAAATGATTTTTTTATATTTTTATTTATGCACTTGTAAAGTGTAATAACTTAAATTTGTTTAAAATAATTAAAGGCTTACTTGTAATTAAATCATTATTGAATTGTTTGAATACTGCCTTCATTTTTTCTTCTTTTTTTTTAAATGAGGGTATTTTAACTAAGAAGTTATATGAACCCTTCAGTTGTCGGTGTTTTCGAACCACATAATTTTACCTATATTTTGACTGTAGTATTTCATACTCACATAAGGTGTGGTGCTATTATGTGAGTAAGAAATACTTGGCGCAAAATAATGATTAATATATGTGTGTACTTATTTTGTCCAATCAACATATGTTTTATAATTCACCCAGACCCTGAAGATGACCCGAATAAAGGTCAAAACGTCGGCAAAAAAATTAAAAAGGTTTGTTTAAAATAATTCAATCTCGACCAAGTCTCACGATTTCAATAAATTATTGAACAACTGGTCACTAAAAAACGCATTAGACAGGCATAAAATATATTATAAAAATTTGTCAAAAACTAAATAAAAATTACACGTACACAAAAGAAAGTATTCTCAAAATAAATAGGAAGTTAAATATACAATGAAAGCAAAACATCACTAAATAAATTTCTGCTTTTATGCTCCTGCAATCAGTTTTAAAGCTGGTTTCCTTATTGATTAATGTGTCACACTGCTTATAGATGCTTAATTCCAAATCATAGCCTGTCCTATGTTGGCAAGCTTGAAACAAATCATGGACATGGTGTTGGCGCCACAGGGCCCTAAAATTATATTGGACAAATGGGGAATCAATTACACTGTCCAGAATCTTCTGTACAAACAACACAGGAGCTGATTTTTCTGTCTCTCAGTGTTGTCCAATTCTAGTAGATTGACCTCAAGGGGAGGTCATGGCTGTTAGATATATTCATTTTGAACAATAAGATTTAGACACCCTTCATTCAAATGTGCGTACTTGTGATTGGTAAAGGATCGTTAAGGAAAATGGATTTTTGAAATCTACCATTTTATGAACACCATACCTTTTTTAATCTTTTAATTAATTAACACATACGCGCCTGCCCGCCAACACACACAATTATGACTAGATGGGAAGAGGAATGGGCAATGAGTAGGACAGGTTTCTTCATAAAGGAATTACATCCAACACTTAAGGCTCATTTCAAATCCACCCTTCGCTTAAACCGTAAAATACGTAGGTATTGAGTGGCCATGGAAAGATAAAGGCCTGTATTTATAAGGGACCAAGGGGCGGAAGGATCTAAGGGTAGTTTCATGAGGGGAATGCCTATGAAGGGAGGAAGATAGCCTCCAGAGAAGACATCGACTACCTACTCCGCATTTTTCCAGCAGCACATACAAAAAACTGCCTTTCATAAATTCATTTAATATTAATTACATTACGTCTTTAAAAAAATAACACTAAAAAAATAAATGCTACTATGTCTGTTTGTAATGCAAAACTCGGTTCATTAAATGCACGTATTAATATGTAAGGAATATGCAGAAAATAAACTCCCTCTTACCAGGGTAGGAGGAAAAACGTAAATAATACAATTCTTAGTGTTTAGCTGTTATAAAACTAAAATAGAAAGACACAATTAAAAATAAATATTTTTATTAAATACACTGGTAATTTACTATAGAAGCTGTATACAGTAAATACACAAAGATTGCATACAAAGACACTTAGGTTTTTATTTTTTTAATATTTTTCTCAGATCACCCAATTATAAGAAACATAAATCAAAGGAATTTGACACCATTTTATTTATTTGGTACTTAAAAAAGAAATAAATGCAATTATATTAGTATAAAAATTTTGGCACCAAGTACAATTCAAGCTAGCTAATAAGCAAAAAATAAAATAATAATAATGAATTGAAAAAAAAAAAAAAAAAAAAAACAGTATGGATTTTAAGTTTAAAAAACAAACATATTTAAACAAAAATAAATACAAGTTTCTTAAATATATCACAATGTGATGTAGGTTATTTTGAAAATAGCAGTTTTAGACTATAAATTTTGTTTCACATAAAACTATTATCTTCTCATTGAAATTAATGTCGACCATATAAAGGTCATTTTGAAACAAATCACAAACTATTGGAACTATTCTTCACTAAGTATATATAAAATACTTTCAGTAACTTTTATTTTAAATAAAATTAGCGTTATAACAAAAAATTGGTGTTTGTAGTTTAAAAATTTTAGTAGAAAATATCACAATATTCTCCCCAGAACTCCCATTACTAAGACGATTCCATCATTCAGTCCTAAGAACAAATAAATCTTACATAATTATTATACACATGCCTTCATTGAAGGCAAATATAAGAGATTCTTTAATCACAAATTCTATTTTGGTAATAAAATGAAAGGCAACTTTGACTATAATAACCATTAAAATATTTCTTGGGAACTTTTTGAACTATTTGTATTAAACAGTTTAATTTTTTTAATGTTTATTATAAGATGTTTGGAACCAGTAAAACAACAATCTTTATGCCTATTAGCTTTGGTTTATTATAAATATGAATATTTAAAATTGCCTTTGAAAAAATGTTCATAATCTAATAAACAATGATTGTTCCAGTATACAAAAATAATTTTGTAAGAAATTCAGTTTTTAATATATCTGGATAACTAACTGGTCCAAATAAATGTTCCATAAAAGACAACATTGAATACTGACTTTAGTTAATAATAACAGTAGTTTTGGCAATTTTCACCTTAAAAATAAAGTGAATAGAAAAATACTATGTTTAGAAATATCTTCTTGAAGAAAATAAATGGCTTCAGAACTAAAAGAAATACAAAAATATTTTTTTTCATTTGAATTTTTCACAGAAGCAATACTTTTTTAAGCCGGAGTCATTTATACATGTGCTTTGAGAGGAATACGAATTGATCCTACTTATAGTATCCACAATTTTGAATTTCTTTTTTTTGTGTGAGACAGTAGCCTCGAATATACCATTACCCGGCACGGCAGAAAGTAGAATCACATATTCTTTTTTGTCGTCTTGGTGGAAAAACACTTTGCTCCTGAACGAGTGGATAGTTTTGGTCACAAGTTTCGCACACCTGGTGCCGTTTTGTAAGAAGTCTTCGGCAGATTTGGAAGTAATTTGGTTTATCTTTTTCATCACATAGTCTGCCAATTCTTTGACTAGGGAGGTTTTGGTGGAAAGAGTCTTGTATTCGGCACAGGTACACCAGTGGTTCGTGATTCCGGCATCGGCACAAGACCTCTTCCAGGGTATTTCTTCTAACAGGCTTTGGCATTTTTGACAGGCCTTTGAGCCGTTTTTTGTTTCCCCAAGGACTTCCACCAGTGTCATGTGAACATCATAAGGTGAAGTGAGTCTGTAAGCATTTGTCTGTAGATTTTCTATTTTGTCTGGGTTTTCTTTCCTGTACCACTCTGGAAACGAGAAATAAATGTACGGAAGCCTCTCCTCTAAATGCCCGATGTATGTTTCCCTTATTTTGCCAAATCGCATTCCGTGATCGCTGAGGTAAATGACAAGAGTGGAATTGAGTATTCCTGTCGATTTCAAATCTTCCAAGAAAGAGACCATTTTTGTATCGATGGCAGTAGGTGTATTCAAATCGTTGTGGCTGACACTGTTCATCCAGAACAGCGAGAAAGTTGGCACATTGTTAAACTGTCGTGCAAAATCCAAAAGATAGTTTAGAACATGGTCGACGCTCAAGACAGGCCCCAGGCAGAGATTGAGCCCCGCAAGTAATTTGATTTTTGTCCCCTTTTCAGCTGCCAGCATGAACGGCCTTAAGTAAAAGTCTGTAGGGCTCTTCACAAACCCTGTTTTGTGATAGTTGAACGAACCGATAGTAGGTTCATCCTCACCATATGCGGTTATGTAATTTTGTGAAGAGAAGTTTTTCCATATGTAAGGACAGTTGTCCAGTTTGGTTTTAGGTGACGGCCAACATTCAGCTCTGATCTGGGCGACACTGTAGCCAGTTAGAATTGCCATCAAATTCGGAAATGTGTTGTCATCCATTTTGTTATAGCCTTTTAGAGTGAACCAGTCATTGGCCTCTAAATACGCTGCCGTCTTCGGCATTGTTCTTAAAAGGTTCAGTCTTGAGATGGAATCTAACCCGATGATCATAACACCCAACCTGTCTTTTGGACTTTCAGGTTTCGACCAGTGTTCCAATTTTGGTCCGACTTTCGTAATGTTTCCCACAAATGCATGCAAATTGACATACACTTCCTTCGAACTGCCTCCATTTTTATACGAGCAGACTACTTTAACAAATTCTTCTTCTTGAGAAAATATAATATTGTTTTTGAAGGTGATGCACTTCCCAATACTGGAAGAGAAATTTAAATTATTAGTGAAAACAATTTTATTTTAAGTTGTTAAAGTAAGAAATTGCACTTAATATACTATAAACATGTAGCATTTACATAATCCATTTTAACGATATGTACTATAACAATCTAACTAAATATTACACAAGCAAACGTTGTTAGCTACATTGTTTTCATATAAACATAAAAAACAAGCTTTTTATTTACTTACTCAAAGAAAAAAAAAAGCAAATAAATTTTAGTCAGATTGTTATCACTGAATGATTTTCCAGTGTTTTGGTGAATTTTCTTTCAAAACACCATAATTAAATATTTTTTATTACAACTAATGAATTTCTGATCTTTAATTTGGTTCACATAAAAATAAATTTGTTGTAATTAATATAACAATAAAAATCCGTGCAAATAGTTTCAAATAAACAACAAAATATCTTTTTTTTCTGAGTGGATATTTATTTTAAAAAATCCATAAATTACAATATTTTATTTATTACCATGCTCAAATTTCTTAAATATAATTTTTTCTTTTAAATTCAAAAACAGAATTATGAATTAAATAAATTTATTTACAAATCATTTAATAATATTAATGCTTTGTTTAATGGGCTAGGATATGTAATGAATTCTCACAAATGGAATATAAAATATTGGATTTTGCTTAATGTTTACAAGCTGTCCATAAATTTAGGTTATTGAGGAATTTAACAATAATGAATAGAATGCAATGTCATTAACGACTTTATTAATAAATAAAATATGACCTAAAGACCTTTTGTTTTCTAAGGCATCCATGGTGAGCAATTCCTTCATTTTATATATTTATTTCATCTGATTTTTTATTTAGTTTATAAGCCACGTATTTAATGATTTTTTTCCAGTTGCATATTATTGCTATATTATGGGGTCCAAGTTGGGAAATCGTATGCCAATACTGATCGTGCACTCGCCTAATGAATGTTTAATAATTTATATTAATATTTGGTTAATAATAATTAATATTATGGTGTATTCCTTTTAATGAACCCAATTAGTTTAAGCCCTCGTTTTTAAAAAAATTTTAAATGTACGTACATTGAAGGAAAGATTTTTTTCAAAATATGTACCTAAATCTTTTACATGTTTCAATGCACTTAGCATACCATTAGCTAAAAGATAACAATAAATCAAAAGAAATAAAAAATTCTACAAAATAATGAACAAATTTGTCAATACTCACTTATATACATTGTCAGCAGTGGTTGAGGAAGTGTCGTTTGGCATGTCCGTCCTCGTGATCAAAGAGTAGCAACATATCACTTTATGGTTTTTTTGGTACTTGTTCATATGCTCGTTGTGCAATATGAGGACATGCGAGGAAGAGTTGACCCGTTTGAGAGAAGTGAGAAGGGGCAAATATCCACATTTCGGCAGCTTCTGCTTCGCGTAAAAGTGTTTGATGCTCTCATCAAAAGGATTCGTATCACGGATTCGGCAGCTTGGATTCCATACTAGATACCCTTCAGGCCTGGAAGTCCAGTTCTTATTTGAGTTTAGATAGGAAAAATAAGATGCTGAAAATAACAAAAGAAAACACTTAAACACTTGTAAAATATTATAATTTAAAATACGTTTCTAAACTTTCTTTTTTTTTGAGTTATTATAAACTACAATCTTATAATATTATGAAGTTTAAAGTTTTTTTAAAATTTCAAATATACAAATTTATTTTTAACATTAAGACTTTTATTGAAAAATAATGTAATGTTTGTAACATATGATCTCTCTCTCTCTCTCTCTCTCTCTCTCTCTCTCTCTCTCTCTCACTCTATCTATCTATCTATCTAATCTAATATTAAATAATTTAAACCAAAAATTAATCTACAAGGCCTGAAATCATATCATACTTACACTTCAGGGAATTGTCTCTGATTGTTTGACGGATGAAATCTGAGTATCCAAAACTTGTGACATCGCTAATAAGATAAAAGGCTATCAAAATGGCAACTAAGGTAAATCCAACGATTATTTTTGAATAAGGCCTGCTCTGGAGGTAATGCAAAATTTTATATCCTGTAAATAATGACATTTTATTAATAATTTTCAATATATAACAAAAAAGATGACAATATCATTCCATTTCTAAAAGTTAATTGAATGAAAATTAAATAATTAAATATTTTATTTATGCTAGTATCAATTGTAATAGCATAATTTTAAAATAAATAAGCCACAGGTCATTCTCTCCTCTCCTAAACTCTCTTTCTTTACCCCTCACTTTCTGATTTATCTGTCTGCATCAAGTTTTCTGGCATTTGCTCATACATTTTTTCTTTCTCATCCATCCATAGGATATGATTGGATAGGTATGAAAGAGTCAGCCAAAAGCTTTCTCCACTTCGACCTGAATATATCTATTGTGCTCCCTCGTTTTTAAAACTTGCTGGCCAGCGTCAGGTTGTTATCCAACCTTCATAGCCTTGAAATGCCAGCGGCTCCTTGTAGAATCCTTGCGGCTTTTCCTCTCCTATTTAAAAGAATATACACTTACATTGGCCCTCACAAAAACATAAAATGTGTTCTGCGGTCTCCTCCTTTTCCTGCCTGTTTCTGTACAGTGTTTTTTCTGTATATACTCTTAGGTCTTCTTAGGTGGCACTGCCCTGTTTGGAGTTCAACCGGAATTCTGGTTCAGTTGCTATTGCCTTCCTGTAATTAATTCCCTTGCAAGTGTTGCGGATGGCACTTCTACGGATCTTTTCACATGCTTCATGCCTGGGGTTTCCACCAAATTTTGTACTCATTAAGGAACCATTTTAAGATGTATCTTTCTGTGGCAAGACGCTAGGCCTAAGGATTTAGATAATCCTCCCTCTTTGGTAAACAAAACTTTTTCTCTACCACTGTACCAATAATAAATCATTACATATAAATAAGAAAGAAGAAGGGGGAAAAAAAGCTCGTGATGACCGAGGCTGAAGGGAATTCAAAAATCTAGAAGAATCTTGGAAGTTGTGGAAAAATAGCAGGTTTGGCATTTATAGGGAATACCAAAATACCAGCTGTCCAGAAGAGATGTACTTTGGAACTTAAGTGATGAATATCGAAGATTTTTAAAAGGTTAGAATATATATTTGAATAGTTAATTTTGATTATTAGTTATATTTAATTATTTCTGGCTAATACTATAATCTTTTTTTAAAGTAATTGTAATTATAGAGAAATTTTTTACATTTTGTTTTATTGTAATTAAATTTAATTGGGCATAAAATTTTTTCCGGTTGTAAATTATTGTGTACACACATATTTACAAAAAACAAAATTCTTTAATTAGTTAATCTCCCTTTCTTATAAAAATATTAAAAATGAATAAAATCCTCTTGAATAATTAAAAAAAAAAATAAACCACTTTGTACACCTGTGTACACCAATGCCCAGGGCACTCATCCAAACTTTTCCGCCATTTCCTACCCAAAGTCCACTGGATTTTAAAAATAATCTTCATTACTAGAATAAAATTATTAATATTTAATTGTTGAGGCTTGCAAAATTTTATTCACGCATTTGGGCGAAATTTCATCAACCGGATCAATCCTTTCAATCGAAAAATAAAAAATTATAATCGAATAAACGATAGTAAATTATCTATCTTGTTTTTGTTTAAGCAATTTTTTCGCTCGTTTCGTGTCTACTCATTTATGCAAGACATGATGTTCATTGTTGCTCATGAGACTCTTTTTTTTTCATCACGCATCTTTACTATTACTATTTTTAATTATAACTTTGAATTTTAAGATATCATTAACTTGATTTGATAAATTAATAAAATAATAAAGGTGGATCCGTTTTCCCCACAGCGAATTTTCGACCTACGACGAAATCGTGACATTCAATTCTGATCTTATTTCTTTTAAGAAGCGATCAAAAGTTGGATGAACACAAGCTTGTTTGTCTGAAATTCAACCGGCTAATTCGTTAGCCGTCGTCCAACAAAATGGATAATAAAACGTGGAGACATGACATTTGCCTTCCTAAAATAAAATAAAATAAATTTGATAGAATAATAAGGATTTTTGTAAAATTCTAGGTTTGCTTGTGACAATATTTGCGTTTTTCGCAGTAAGAGCAATGTTTTATCAAATCAAAATCAGTTAAAAAAAAAATAAATACTAGCAGAGGGTAATAGCCTGATTAACAATGAAATTCTAATCCTTTATTTATCGTCCAATCGTTGATACATAAATATATATATATTTTGTAAACAGAGGCTAAACTACAAGAATAATTGTCTAAATGTTTTTCCTTTAAATTTCTAAATTTGTGGGAAAAAATTACCTGTATTGAACAACATTTAACGTTTGTCTCGAGCATAGCTCGCTGAGTTCTTGCCAGTCAAATTACTCAATGTGCACTGAGAAATGAGTACCCTTAGACAAGGCGGCGATATGATTTTTAAGACGAACGCATGCGCCTAAACATGGTGAATTTTTGACTTCTCACATGTAATAACTACAACTAACACTAAAACATGTTATTATAATTAATCGGGTTAATATAATTAAATTAAACCATTTGAAAACAAATATATATATGTCACGGTGTATTCTCGATTCAACAAGACGGGCCCAACTCTGAATCCTTTTTTTATGAGAAACATAGCCCCAGATCTTGATCGAACCTGAATACAACCGATCAGGTGCCTTTTTATAATAAAATTTAATTAAAGTTTGAAAACAATTTATTAATTACACAAGAAAATAACAATTTAAATCAATTAATTTCCTTTTTAAACTTTAAACAAACAGGGGTGGATGGGTACTCACTGTTTACAGTCAATCCGCAGTGGACCCAAGCACTCTATTTTAGGGACAATACTTTTTAAATTCTTTTGAGGATCGCACACTTCTTTTTGTCTCTCATCTACACGGAATGGACCTGTTCACTTATTGACTCGAATGTCTCTCCCTCATTCTCTAGATCTTCTTTTATTTTTTACTCTAGGCCTAATCATAAAATCTAAATCACAACATTGTCACTTAGAAATAAATTGAAATGGGACATAAACGACAGATTATCCTAATTTTACGTTGTTTTTTATTTATTTATTTTTTTTTTGAAGTTGTTCGCATATTAATTTTGTTTTGACTGTTTGGTAGTTACGTGTGAAATAAATATGATAATTTTTAGGCCCTGCTTAGCCTCATTAGCGATGTGTAAAATGTTTTTTTCCCGATGGTTCGCAACAGCAGAGTTCATGTTAACCCTCGTGGTGTTTGTGTCTTGCAGTTATGACAATATTTTTGTCCTCCCTTGGCGTCGTAATGTGCTGAGATGATGAGATCTACTACCAGGTCTCCTATTGGAGCTTCCAGTCTCTAGGAATCGGGCTAATGCCCGGGAGACCACGTTCTGAGAAACGCCAACTGCCTCTGCGATATCCAGTTGCCGGTGACCTCGATGACTCATTTTGACAACAATGTTGCGAACTTCTGGTTCAAGATGATATCTTTCCATGGTTAAAGAGAATAGAACTGGATTAAAACGGAGAAAAGACGAGAAAAGATGTTGGCTTACAAAATGAGTAATCTTCATGTTTACTATTCTTAAGGATAATTTGGAGATCGTGAGAAGCGGTCTGTTGTGACGTAGGTTTTAGAAAAACTTTTCTTTATTGTGCCAACGTTTCGATCTTTATTGAGATCATCTTCAGGGCTCAAAGTGTTTGTTTTCTGGCTCTCTCAACACGACACACAATAATGACACATCCACGCAGAAAACAAACACTTTGAGCCCTGAAGATGATCTCAATAAAGATCGAAACGTTGGCACGATAAACAAAATATTTTTCTAAAACCTATACCACACCAGACCGCATACATGTTCCGAGTTGAGCCTATTCGCTTCTCGTAGTTCACCGGCAATTCCAACTTTTGCTGTTTGCAGTAAATTGCCGGTAGGCTCGAGAATCACCCAACCCGGGTGTTGGCAGTCCGAGGGCAGACCTCATTCTTATCCGTCCATCCACCGATGTCAGGATCCGGGGGGGGGGGGGTTGTGTCAACTTCTAGGTCAATTCAACACCCAACGCATGCAGTTCCAGACCCATTGTTACTCACGTGCATTCTTAATGCGAACAAACACAAGAGAAAAGGGAAATGTTTTTCGCTTTGTGGATGAATGCTCAATTTTATGGGAATATCGTCCCCAACCTTTCTCGTTTTTCGTTTATCCACAGTCCGAATTTAAGAAAATGTAAACCCCTTTTGAACACCTCTAAAGGCAAATTCCTACTGGTATACTGACGGCTCCAAAACCGACAATGGTACAGGAAGTGGGGTCTTTGGGATGAACCCCAAAACCGAACTGACGGTAAACCTAGGTAATTATGTTCAAGTTTTCCAGTCTGAAATCATTGCGATTGAACAATGTGCTAGAGAAATAAAAAAGCCTAGGAGTACATTCCCGGAAGATAGCCATTTTCTCTGACAGCCAGGCATCACTCAGGGTCTTAGCCTCATGCGAGGCGAAGGCAAAGAGTGTTTGGAACTGCATGGAGGCCCTGACGGAAGTCAGCGACTCTAATGACCTGACCCTGGCATGGGTACCTGGACATTCGGGGCATAGAGGCAACGAAAATGTCGACAAGTTGGCCAAAAAGGGAACCAACATGGGCTCTCTTGGCCCAGAACCCTACTGCGGTCTAGCAGTCTGCCACAAAAGAGGATACATCTTAAAATGGATCCTTAATGAGTTCAAAACCTGGTGGAACAATACCATAGGTATGAGGCAAGCGAAAAGATTCATAGAAGGACCATCCGCAAAACTTACCAAAGAATTATTGGAAGGCAACCGCAACCGAACCAGGATTCGGGTTGAACTCCTGAAAGAACACTGCCAAATAAGAAAGCACATGGTCTGGATAGGGTAAAGGCAGAAGAAACACTGTGCAGATGCTGCCAGGAAGAGGAGGAGACCCCAGAACACATTTTATGTTTCTGTGAAAGTCTATGTAGGTGCAGGTTCTTGCAACTAGGACCAGAAAAACCACAAGCAAGGTCCTACACCAAGGAACCGCTGGCAAAGCTGTGAAGGCTGATTAATAACCTGAATATGGTCAGTGAGTTATAATTAACAGAGGAGCACAATAGGTCTATTTAGGTCGAAGTGCAGTAGGCCTTGTGGCTGCCTCTCCTATCCCTATCCCTATACGCGCGATGTTTGGTATTACCCATTTCAATTGGTGATAAATTTTCATAGGAAGAGAAAAAACTACGGTTGTTTTCTTTCCCTTTGGCTAAGAAATTTTATTTTGTTTATATTCACTAAATAATATGTATCTAATTTGTATAAAAACTTGCCATATTTTATGATCGGATTGGTTGAATGATCCCAGTGATGTGTACCATTTGCAATTCCATTTAGAACAGGCTTTGACATGTCGCTCAAGAGTAAGTCTTTTTCACCTTCTTGGTGGTTGTGGCACATGTTGATCTCTGGCGATCCATTCGTACCTGAAAAATAATGCGTAAACTATTATGATAAGTATAACATTTCTGGTTGATTTGTATAATAGAGCAGGCAGCTGCATTTTAACGCCAACCCAGGTTATAAAAAGAAAACAACAAAACAGGGGGAAAGAATGAGGATTAAAATGCAATATTTCATCACTTTAAGCCTAGTGAAGTCTTGTTCATACGAAGTTATATTACACTTACATATTAAATTTTTGATATCCTCGATTCTTGAGGGGCATTTATATGAATGTGTACTTTGTTTTCGTGTTTATTTACTTTATCGAATCAATTCGTAAGCATTATATATATATATAAAGTGGAAGGTTTATGGGCCGACAAACAGCTGAGGTCATCGCCGGCCCTCCGCGTGTATTCCTTCTCTTTCCTGTCTTTCTCGCGTATTTTGTATTGAACTGCAACCATTTGAGCATCTCGATCTGGTTACTGACTTTCTGCTTTTACTTGTATAGTAGTTATTTTAAAAAGCTAGCCTCTTGTTAGTACCTCAGGTTGTCAATTTAAGAATAGATACACAACATACAATACATAACATATATATCGCCACAAACATAGAAGTCTGGTCACATTCACTCCCCCAGAGTACTCGATATTCCTCGGGGCGGGGTTGAACCCACTCCATTCGCGCTAATAACTTACTTTTACTCTCCAGACGTCACACACTCACCCCAGAGTACTCGATATTCCTCGGGGCGGGGTAAATAACCCCTTCCTTTCATGCTTAAATTACATTCATTCCAACAGAGTAAAATATAAACAACATACAATACTAACAGAAAAGTCTGGTCACATTCACTCCCCCAGAGTACTCGATATTCCTCGGGGCGGGGCCGAACCCACTCCATTCGCGCTAATAACTTACTTTTGCTCCCCAGACATCACACACTCACCCCAGAGTACTCGATATTCCTCGGGGCGGGGTAAATAACCCCTTCCTTTCACGCAAATAAATTACGTTCATCCTAATGTAATAACATAAACACCACACAAACACGACACAAACACTTCAGACACAACACAAGCACAGAACAAACACACATAAACTATATACATTTGAAGATCCCTATAGCCCTGAGGTACCGGTACAGCGATTTGTGCCCGCTGCCGTGCCCCAAGACTACGCACAGGTCCGACGATATTCCAAAATATTGCCTATAAACGTCGAGCCTTCTACAATTGAAAAGGTGCTCGACTGCTACTCTATCTTTGCATAATGGGCACCTTTGCGGACGCTTTCCTGCTAGAAGGTGCCCGTGTGCAATCCTTGTATGACCTATGCGTAGTCTTGTCAGTAGGACCTTTTCCCTTTTTGACCCATTTTCCGTGAACCAGGGACGTCTTTCTTAACCTGCCACAGTTTGGCAGGGTTATTCCTATTTTGCCGAGCCCAGCGGTTTTTCCATTCTTCTTTTAATGTATTTGAAATTAATAACTTGAGATCAGCTGGGCGTATTTGTTGGGAAGCGTAAGCATTATGTTTCTCATTTCTCTCAGATCCATGTTCAGGGAGATTTGTGCTGGGTAACGCTTCAAGGCGCTAATGAAGCCGAATGAAATATTACTCTCCGACCGGAAAAAGATCTAGGACTGTCACAGTCAAGTGTGAATTGCCGAATGGAAATGTGAGTAAAATTGACAGGGAGATGTTGAAAAGTTCAACTCGAGCTTACATCCCAGCATGAACTTATCCCGGTTACATGCCGTTTATTCAAAATCCAACTTTTCATCGAAAGAACCACCTGGGATAATAGATAAAACAAGTTCAGCCTTCGGTCACTATTCGCGGTCTGAAAATAGACGGATTTAGATGATTTGTCAATGCTCTATGGCGATGATACCAAAAGGAGAAACCCAGTTTTGTATAATAAGAATGTTTTGCTTCGTCTGTTTACTTCCCAACAAACAGAGTAAAGATTATCCGAACTGTATATCAAATCAATCATGTACAGTTTAAGAGGAAATGATCCTTGATAAGTTTTTATGCTAAAACACCAAACCACCCCTACCTTCTAGTCTGGCTTGATCCTTCTGACGACTATTTCTTCCTAGTCTTAAGTCAGAAATATTTTCATTTTTTGGAAAACAGAAATTGAAGTTTAAGACTCCATTGAAATAAACACATGAAGAATTGCCTCTTTGAAATTGAACAGTTGGCTTATAGATTGCAATTAACCACCGAGTATGATGGTATTTCCATGATTTAAAAAAATTAATTTGACACCCATAGATGTTTTATTTTATAAATAATTCGCACCTGGATGTTCTATGGCGGTACTGAATTGTTACAGGAGAACTTCTACACCCCCTGTCCTTGCTCCTTCAGTTATAATTTCTTCCTAACAATCGTCTACTTCCCAAAAGTAAAAACATTTCATACGATGAACTAAAAGCTAAATTAGAATTCTTTATTTAAACAAAAATTTTGGAGTGGTAGAGAAAAAAAGAATTTTTTTTTCTTTTTCTCAAACGAGAGCTTTGATGTATTTCGTTTGCAACTCGTCAGCTGTTTTGGTACCACGTTCATAAACGTTATGTTGTTAGCATGCTGGCACACCAAATAATAGGTTTTCCCTAAATACATTTTATTGTTCTTTGAATCAATTCTGTTATTCCTCTAAAAAAAAGATCATTTCTTTTATTGGACTTTTTATTTGCAGAGCATTATTAGATGCATCACTTAAAAGGGAAGTAACATTGGAAAACAAAATAAACATGTTTCTGGTGCAAGGTGGAATAACAAACATGGACTCAGTACCGTCATAGAACTCATCCAGGTGGGAATTGTTTATAAAATAAAACATCTATGGGTGTCAAATTAATTTTTGTTAACCATGGAAATACCATCGTAATCGATGATTAATTGCAATCTATACGCCAACTGTTCAATTCCAAATCTTTATTAAACCTAGTTAATACCTAATACCGTCTGTAATATTGTTGCAAAGTTAAAGCAATATCAAGACGCAGGTGTAGAAGTATTATTCAAATGGATTCCAGGCCACGCTGGAATAACTGAAAACGAGAAGGCGGACCGAGTGGCGAGAGAGAAAGCCATGGATGGTACTCCTCACAGAGGGGTTGCCTGTACAGGAAACAAGCTCCTCGCAATAAAGAAAGATGTAAAGAAATGGGTCCTCTTCCAGACCTTCTCGAAAAGAAGAAACCCTCCTAACCCGGCTACGAATTGGCCACTCCCGACTCACTCATAGTTTCCTCCTTGAAAGAACCCCTAAACATATATGTCCACTCTGCAAAACTACTATCACAATGTCCCACATCCTAATAGATTGTTCTTTATAAACCTCTACAAGAACCTTCTCCAAATCCCCAAAGACCTCCAATCCATACTAAGCAACAACTCAACATCAATAAACAAAATTTTTAACTTCTTAACAGACATCCAACTAATAGATAAAATTTAATATCCCATCCCTCAACTCTTGTTTTGCTGGTTCTCAATGTTGGCAGCGTGGCGCGGCTGACTTCTGGCGATGCTCGTACGGCCTCTGGTGCTGGTCAGTCTTGGGCTGGATTGAGGGGTGCCTCCCCGGACTCTGAGATCAAGAAATCTCCAGCGAGCTTGGAGGAGGTGTCGATGGTCACTAGACATCGACCCCTCCTCGATAAAGCCCTGGGCACAATATTAAGATTAAAAGCGTCAGTTGCGCTGCCACTGCGCCGGGGTTTGCGGGGACCTCGCTCTTGTATAGACTCAAGGCTTAATGACCAATAAGGTCGCAGCCTTTAATTAAAAAAAAAACAACTACTTTTTTCCTCTTTTCACAGCCATTCTGCAACAGTAAATCCTAACAATTATTCCTCTGATTGGGGGGGGGGGGAAAAAACCGATAAGTCTAATTTGGTTATGATCCGTTTAGTAAAACAATTAATTGAAAAAAATGAGACACGGATAAAAGGATACTTTTTTAACATAGCGACAAATCAGTTAGTTCAGGATATTGAGTCGGATTTTCAGGCTTAAATCATTTGTACTTGGCTAATCTGTAAACATTTTCAAACTGGATCGTAACATGTAAAACTCTTATTGATATATATTAGACCAATAATAGCAAAAATCCTCCTTGTTGATTCAGGATTTATTTTTTTGTTCATCCACTAAGGGTCATTTAGGCTGGGTGTTCTGTTATGTATATGTGAAGGATAAGAGGAGCTCACGCGTGAGCAGCATCCCCCGGTAGGACAGACTACACGGTCACAATACTTTTAAAAGGTTTGTACGTTCGACAAACCGGAAAAGGGCGTAAAGAGAGGCATCATCGTTTAGAACATCATGCAGGGATTCAGGCAGCTTGTCGTATCTTCTTTCCTGGTTGTACTGTTCACAGGTAGTCAATATATGTTTTATTGTAAGCGCCTCATAACATACCGCCCATACGGGTGGGGGTTCCCTGGCGATTAGGTAGCCATGTGTATGCCCAATTCAGAGTCTGCAAAGAGCCTTTTCTTATCTACTGTTGTTTTGGTTTGATGAGAGCCATTTACGGGTGGTGTTTTCTGTATTTATTCCTCTCAACTTGTTCCTTGTTGCCTCCCATTTGCATTGTCAAAAGTGGTATTTTTTCTTTTTCAATAGGGATTAATTGAATGCAACGTAAGCCGATGAGTGTTAGGCATTCGTAAACTATAAATAAGCCCCCCAAGAGATTTACTTTGTCTTAAATTACTATTTAAATACTTTTAACATCATGTTGTAAATATAACAGGCAATACAAAAAGCTATAAAAAAATTTAATTTCAACATATTTTTTTTTTGTAAAATTTACATTTACTTCTACATACACGGTTAATGATAATAATAAATCCATTATATTTCGTGGTTTGATTGGTTGATGATATGGTCAAATAACCTACGTTTCGAATTTTCCCTCTTTTTTGCCATTTTTCAAATGTCATGTTGAGATGAGTGTTGGTGTCCGAGTGGAACGAAGTCACGATAGTTGAAGTGGTAGAGCAGCGGCGTATTTAGCCGGAGGTCGTGGGTTCGAATCCCGCTCTTGACATTAACATTTTCACTTCAACACCTTACATAAAGATTAATTAATTGATATAAGAATAGTATCAAATGAATTCGAAGGAGAAAGATTAACTGAATCCTATTTTTAGGCGTAGCGGAAAGGACGGGCGTAATGATACTTTTTATGCAATGGGATTAATCAGTGCAAACAACGCATTATTTACTGTTTATTTTGACTACGATAGCCTCTAATTATCTGTAACTAATGTAAAAAGATAATGGATTTAATTTTAGACTAAATAAATTGAGTGTTGCGTTGAAGATGTCCATCAGTGTATTATACAAACAACAAATCAATCGATGACTACAAACTCTACGCAAACACACGAATTTTCTACCATATCTGACAATGATTAGTGAGTTACTGGGAATGGAAAGGAGCCACCAGATAGCCGGTTTTGGTCTATCAACGTTGTCCACCCTCATGAACTTAAGTTCCTATCAGCGCAATTACGTTTCTGAGAACAACATCTAGTGCGTTATCAAGGCAAGACGATATGGTTAATCACGTGAACTGCTTTCTGTTCTGGTGGTGTGCATATGTTTCAGAATGATTTTAAAGCGTTTCACACACTGTCGTGACAACTGATGTAGAAGTCTATAGAAAATAAAACAAATCTCGAGGGGCGCGGCGTGACTAGAGATAGCGATTAACCACCATAGAGCTATTTTTAGCTACATTTCCATTAAAATTATTTAATAGTAATATTTTTAATGACTAAGTCTTTTTTTAATATTTTTTTTTACGATGGCAGAAATAGATCTGGCGACTGGGCGATATTAATCGTGTCTACCCGCGCAAATAAACATAATTTTTAATATTATCCTCAAAAGTCTCGTTTTCAATAGATTCAGACTAAACTGGATAACTTATTTGATTTTCTCTGGTACAAAACCCATTTAGATAACACTTGGCAGCTGGTAGGTGTGTTAATTTTGCCAATAGAACTTTGTATAAAAATAGAGGTAGGCTAGAACGATCGCCACAGTGATCTGTCTGTAGACATGAATAAAAAAACACATTTCCTTTCGATTTTCATTTATTTACAAAAAAACGTTCAATTTACAATTGATCAAAAGTTGTTTATCGTCAAGAACAGTATTCATACGGATAGTACTAATATTTTCGTATCTTTTTAAAAAATGTTTATCGGGCTCTGTGCATACTTTTCGTTCTGTTTTTGTGTAAAACAATTCAACGCACTGCTCAATCCCCTTGTCGACGATTGCGGTTCATTGTAAATGAAGGTCTTTCATCACTGGGATTTAATGAAGTTGCAGTCAGCCGGTGAAGTGATCCGTTAGAAAAGCCTAACTTTTAACGCGTATGTAGTTTAATTTGCCTACTTTCAAAATTGCAGGTAATCCATTTTCATCCATGTACATAAAACCCAAACTTTAAAATCAAAATAAATCTTCGTTTAAATAAAAAATTAACGATAATTTTGGTATTTTACTTTATGTAAAACGTGATAGGAATAAAGATAGGTTTAAATGGTAAAAATAGGTTTAATAATTTGACTTAATTCCTTTTTGTTTTATTATGATTCGCTTCGATAAACAATCAAACAACAATTAAAACTATAACATATAAACAAAATTTCACGGAACACTTAAATTATATTTAAAATCCAATCGTACGTTTGTTTAAATCACACATTTTTTAATTTTTTTTTCTATTGCTACTATAATACAATGTATATTGGTATATGTATAATACTGTTTGATTTTTGTGTTACAAGATTATAAACTTCAGATTAAATTAATAAATCGAAACGGAACTCGGCTTCTTCCTAGTTTTTATTTTACCTCTATCATAACTTAAGATGTACCAGCAAGAAACGAGATAATGTAACTTCTAGCCATTTGTAAAATATGCCATTAAAACACAATTAAATTACCAATACAAAATCATGCGTTATGCCGAATTGAATTTTGTATAAACACTTAAGTCTATCGTGTTTGTTTTCAGGTATAATTATTAAAATCGTATGTTAAATTGGTTACTCTCTTAAATCGATGTTCTTAGACAAAAAGACGCTTGAGGTCAACTCAGTAGGGAATTTTATTTCAAGATTAGATAAGCCCTAATAAAAAAAGGCCGAGATAAAAACTTTGATTACCAGGATGAACTTATTTTTAATACAAAAAGGAACCGTTATATTTACTTTTGTCTATTGTTTCGTATAAAATAGAAAAAAACATTGGAGAGAATAAAATGTTTTCCGCATACATATGTTACAATAAACTTTAAACAGAAACTGAAAATCGGATAAATCAACAAAATTTTAACAACTAATAGTTTTGACACAACGATTTACAAACGAAAACATTCAAATGTAAAAGCGTTTAAGTTTGATAAGGGTGATAAGATAGGATGTACATCCGTGAAGAAGGAGGATGCTTTAGATATTTGAAGCGTAATACAGTTAATTAAAACTACTCAAAATATTGTTGAAATGTATTTAAAAAAACCTGTGTAGTGAAGGTTGTAATTTTGTCAACTCACCGTCTCAAACGTGAGAGATCTGGAGACGTACTGGTGCCTGAAGGCGAAGGGCAGCTCCAACCCTCATCCACCCCAACCCCCGACAACGACTCCAACCCCCAAATCCACCCTCCGACCACAACCCCACTTTATTGACTGGCGCATGCGGCTCGTTCCACTTACATTTTCAAGGAGCAATTAGAAATCTTCACGGAATGCTTTTTTTTTGTAATTTGTCTTTTTATGTTCTATTTAAGAGGAATGTATTCTTGTATGACCGGGATTTACTGACGTGGCAGTGGAGCTTGCTTCAATGTTGACGATTCTTCCTGCCAAAACTGGCCTCGTCGAAACTTTTTCTCTAAAACTATTTATTTATTTTTAATTAGAAACAGGTGTTTTACAGTCTATTTCGGCAAAGATATCAGAGATATACATTTTTGTGAAACATCATGGCATTTGTGCTTGATTCAAACTAGAAAGCAGTTGATTTTTGAAAACAATACACAAATCATATTTAAAAGTTTTTATTAATTTTTACGGCATAACTTTTAAATGATAAACAAATAAATAAAAAAGTTATATTCTCTCTCTCACTCTCTCCCTCCCTCTTTCTCTCTTCCTCTCTCCCTCACCTTCTCCCTTTCCCTCTCCTTCCCTCTTTCTCTCTCTCTTCCTCACCCTCCCTCCCTCACTCTCTCACCCTCTTTCTTTCTTTCTCTCTCCCCCTCCCCCTCTCTCTCAAACTCTTTCCTTCTTTCTCTCTTTCTCTCTGTCCCTCTCTTAATTATACAACTAGGCCACAAATATGTCATAATGTCAAATTTTGAATTTTTTTAAAAGTATTTTATTATTTATTAAAAATAGGTGTTTTACAGTCTATTTCGGCAAAAATATCACAGATATACATTTTTTTGAAACATCATGTCATTTGTGCTTGATTCCGACTAGAAAGCAATTGATTTTTGAAAATTAAATACACACAAAGCATATTTATAAGTTTTTATTAGTGTATTTTACCGCATAACTTGTTTTAAATGATAAACAAATACATAAAAAGTTATACTCTCTCTCTCTCTCTTCCTCTCTCCCTTTCCCTCTCTCTATCTTCCTCTTTCCCTCTCACTCTCTCTCACCCTCTCTCTTTCTTCCTCTTTCTCTCTCTCTCTCTTTCTTCCTTT